GATCCTGGATGGGGTCCTTGTCTGAGTTCAGTCAGACAAGGTACAAAAGTAACAAAAGTACAGCAGACCGGGACAAACAAACAAACACAGGTCTAATTTCTCATAGTTCTGGAAGCTGGAAGTTCAAGATCAAGGCGAGGTATCCAGCAGGCACGGTGTTTATAGGCATCCTTATGCTCCTATTCCCACTGTCCTGGGGGGGGGGGCGGTAAGCCCTCTGAGGCCTCTCTCATGAAGGCACTCATCCCATTCGCGGGGGTCCACCCTCATGAGCTAACCCCTCCCAAAGGCCCCACCTCTCCATGCCATCACATTGGGTGTTAGCTTTCAAAGTACGTATTTTGGATGGACGTGTACAGTCAGCAACAATCCTGGACCAGAAAAATGGCCTCTGTGTAGTAGATAATAGGATTGTATTGATGCTAATTTCCTGGCTTCCTTAACCTGATTGCACCATGGTTACGTGGTGATGTGACCATTAGAGGAGGCTGGGTGAAGGGTCTCCGGGAGCTCCGCACTATTTCTGCAGCTTTTCTGTGAGCCTAAAATTGTTTCAAAATAAACTAAAAAGAAAATAATCCATACATTGGGGGTTGTCAGGAAAATTAGCTGAGGAAATGCAGGTGAAATTTCTACAAATAAGAATTCTTAATACAAGCCCCCCCGCCCCCGACATATACCTTTTTTGTCACAAATTGCTTAGATTTTCAAGAATACAAGAATGATGAGGTCTGTAGTGTCTGGAATTAAGCTTGTTTTTCTAGTCCTTCCTTTTTTTTATGATTTATTTATTTATTTGACACAGAGAGAGAGATCACAAGTAGGCAGAGAGGCAGGCAGAGAGAGAGGCGGAAGCAAGCTCCCTGCTGAGTAGAGAGCCCGATGTGGGGCTCAATCCCAGGACCCTGAGATTATGACCTGAGCCGAAGGCAGAGGCTTAACCCACTGAGCCACCCAGGCGCCCCTTTCCTAGTCCTTCTTGACTTGAAAGGACAAAATCCAGAAAGAAAATAACAGAGGTAACCCCTAAGCTTGGCTCTATCAAAAAACCTTTCAGGTTCTCAAATCCCTTTAACTCCCTCAGAAACAGAATGAAGGTCAGTTTCAGGGAGGTCAGGAGGGTCCTCCAGCAGGCTGATGGCTCCACAGATAACCCTAATTCCAATACTGATGTCCTTCTGGTATGGGCAGCCTGTCCTAAATTGGCCTATCTGCTCACATTAAGAAATTTCTTTCTCCTTGCAACTGCCTGCTCTGGCCCCATTAGAAATTGGCTCCATAAACTGGATGATGACAGTCTTATTCTGTGTTTCACGCAGCATGGTCCTGTTGATGTCTTTCCCATTACCTCACCTGCTGTGTTTGACCTTCAGTCCATCACTCTGAAGGATTCAGTTAGTGGCCAAGAGCTGTTGCTAACAAGATATTTCAGTTGTGAGCTGTTTGAGTCTCCCACTGAAGATAGGGAGGGTTGTGTGTGCATGTTTTCTTTTCAGAAAGACTGAGCCCAAACCTCTTTTGTTTTTCCTTTTTGTCTCAAAGAAAAAAAAATCACAACGGAGAGATTAAAAGTAAAAAAAAAACAAAAAACACAAAAACAACAACAAACAAACAAAAAACACAAACCATTATTCCAAAGATCCTGCTTTTTAATCATGACATGAAATCTAGCAGTCCTTAAGGAAACCATTCGGGGACACAAATATCCATGGACCTCTCTCTCTCTGTGTTCAGGGCACCATAAGCGGGATAGGTGTGGATATAACAGGATTGCACGGAGGAACTCCTTTCTCGAGAATAAACGTTTCTATATTATGACTGTGGTGTTGGTTTCAGGAATCTATACAGGTGACAAAAAGGAACAAACACACAGTCACCAGGGAGCACATGTAAATGCTGGTAAAATCCATATAAGGTATGGAGTCTAGTTAATTGCACTGCACTCATGTTGGTTTCCTGATATTGACAATGTACTGTGCTTAGGTAAGATGTAAGATGTAAGCTGCATGAAGAGTCCATGGGACTCTTTACTATTTTGCAACCTCCTACATGTCCACAGTTTTTGTTTGTTTGTGCTGAAATACCATAAACATGTTGGCAGACAAATGCCAAACTGGGAAGTCTCTGCATCCAATATGACACAGGCTTTTATGTCCATCACATATGGGTTCTTGCCAATTATGGAAGAGATGAGCTTTTCCAATAGGAAAGCATATGCACAGGCAGCCTCAAACAGTCCTGGGGACCCCCCACTGATCAGATTCCCCCACCAGTAGAGGGGAAAAGTGGCCCACAAAACAGTCTGGAAGAATCAAATATCTCTACCTGCCACCTCTGAGACCTTGACCTTCTGCCAACAGACACTTGTCCATTTGTAGCTGCCCATTATCCATCCTCCTTCCTGTTGGCACCCCACTTCCTTTTCCAGACCTCTTGTCAGGTAGGAATGTGAATGACTAAAGTTATGCCAACAGGTGCTGTTTCATAGCAATCTGAGTACCGACTGAGTAAGTCAGAAGTAGAAGGTTCTCAGGAAGAGTTCCTGCTTGGAGACAAGTGTAGGTTTCCAGCTGCCAAGGCTCCTGGAGCAAGCCCAGTGCCCTTTGCCACAGGTTTCTGTCCTTCTGTGCTCTGTGACCAGTCCCCTCCTCCACTTTGTTGCACAGAGGTTTAAGCGAAAGGCAGCTTATTCTCAAGACTGGGATTTTAAACATTTCATTGGCTGAGCTCCCTACCCGTAAAACACATTGAGACTGACAACATTGTTCAGTTTCCAATATGGATGACAAGGGACTGATTTCCTTCATATGTAAAGAGAGTCCACAAATCAATGAGGCCAATAGATCAAACGATCTATTGATCTATAGCAATGATTGCTAGTCAAGAAGTGTCTTAAAACATGAAAACATCCCCACACATAAAAGAAACGTGAGTTCAGATTACAGCGAGATACCATGTTTCACTCCTAAGATCCGTGAAGATAAAAATATCTGATAGCAGGTAGTACTGGCGAAGGAGTGGGGAAACAGGCACATTTCACCCTTCTTGGAGCGGTTTACATTGAGGTGTTCTCTTTGGAAAGCAATCTGGCAGTACTCTGTCAAACTAAAAACGAGTATGCCTTTTGATAATTCTAGGAATTTACCCTATAAACTCAAACATATGTCCAAAATATGTGCAAGACTATTTGTTACAGTATCACCTATACTGAGGGTTGATCAATTACAGCCTGTGGGTTAGATCTGGCCAGCTGCCTGGTTTTGTAAGTAGTTTTACTGGCACCAGCCAAACACTCCTTTACATATCATCGGAGGCTGCTTTTGAACTAGGAGGGCAGAGTTGAGTAGTTGTACCCCAGGCTGTCTGGCCCAAAAGGCCTAAAGTATTTACTCTCTGGCCTTTTGCAGAGTAAGTCCACTGACCCCTGATTTATACTGATTTAAACAGAAAAGCCCAGAATAACTGATTATCTTTTAACAGGTGCCTGGCAAAATAAATTTTGGCACATTCAGAGGGAGGAAGAGAATTCCGGTGTTAAAAATAGAGACTGGGAGGTGATCACCTCTCTGGAGGGAAGGCGTCTTTTCTCTGTGTATCCTTTTGTGCTACGGTTTAACTTGTTAAGCCATTAAAAATCAAAGCAGGACTTCCCCAAGTCCAGAGAGGGTGAAGGTGCCAGGAGAGACCATCCTGCTGTTGGGAACTCAAGTTACCAGCGTGCAGCCGGCCTCAGCTCTCTCTAGGTCTTGGCTGCTGGGACAGACAGGAAGAGGGAAATGGCCTGTCCTCCTGAGCCCTTAACCACGGAGTCAAGCCTCTGGTCAGACACTAGGTAAGTGAAGGCATCCAGGGCCGGTAACGGGCCAGAAGGCTGTGCTGGAGCTGTTACGAGGAAGCCTGTGGGCTGGACAGGCGCCCAGGACATCCCAGGCTGGGTCCCTGGGGGGACACACAGGGGCTGCATCCCAGAACGGTCCTCCCTGGGACCCTCTGATGAGGGGCGGGCCATCTCCCGGACCTGGCGCCTCCCAGGACTCCACCAGTGGGAGGAACCCGCAGCCCCAGCCCCAGGCTTGGAAGGAACCTCAGGCAGGCGTCGGCGCGTCCATCTGGAATCGTTTACTGAGTCCACTTCTTACACGCATAATTATAAAAGAATAAGAATCGACAAAAATATTTTCTTTTCCATAATATGTAGAGGTGGTTCGTTTCCGGTGGGTTTTTTTTGTTTTTGCTTCTTTTCTGTTTTTCTTTTCGCCCGCCCCCCGGCAGAACGCTTGGCAGGGAGGAAGAGGCAGGAATAAGGATAACCCTGAGGCGGGGAAGGGTCCACTGCCAAGGCCGAGCCCCGGGATTGCGCGGGCCCGGCGCTTCAGAGCCGGCTGAACGCTCAGGGGCAGGCGGGAGGCTCGCGGCCCGCTGCGCACTGCCCCCCGCCGCACTTGGAAGAAGGGTCGCCCCCCGCACGTGCTGGCTGGCTGGCTGGCTGGCCGGAACTCTGCGGCCGGCGGCGGACCCCATTGTAGGTTTAGGCCCCCTTTGCTTTGTCTTTTAAATAATCACCAAAATCGCCCCCCCCCCAAACAAAACACACTCGGACGGGGGCGGGTGTGGAAGGAAAGGCGAACGCATGCTTCTGTGCGGGCCGCTGCGGAGCGGGGAGGAGGCCCGGCCCCGCCCAGTGTCCTCGAGGTCCCCTCCCCCCGGGGATTCCCGGTGGAGTTGAGGCTCCAGCTCCCGGACAACGCAGAGGGGAGGAGGATGGCCTGAGGAAGTGCCTCTTGGATGGGGCTCGTCTTTCCGTCCTGGCAACCGAGAAGCAGCAGACAAAAAACCCAGGAGCGTTACGTAAAGGAGAAAAGGCGTGGGGGCAGCGAAGGCAGAGGCTGGGTTTGGGGGGCTGTCCAGCGGGGGCGGTGGGAGGGGGGCGCCGCGCCGGGGGGCGGGGCTGCGGGGGCCACTGGGGCCCTCCCGCCGGCTCCCCGGCGGCGGCAGCGGCAAAGCCATTGTGCTGTGAAGGCGGCCGGCGGCGCGGGCTCAGAGGTGCTCCTGTAGAAAGTGCAGAAGTGTGACTTCGTAGTGCTCGCCGGACTCAGGGCAGCGGATGCTGTGTCTCTCGTTGGGGTAGATCTGGGTGGACAGAGAAGGCAGGGCTGGTGACACAGAGTGACCGTGCCCCAGGCGATCGCTGCGGGGCATCCTGCCCCTGCCCCCCACCAGTCCCCAGCTCAGGGCGGCTCCTGGGGGGGCTGTGGAAAGAGCAGGCACCCTGGACTGAGGGACCTGAGTTCCACACCCCCTCTGCCCGCCCTTCCCCCAAATCTCTTGCTGTGCACTCTGGGCAAGTGACCACCTCCCTGACCACAGCCACCAGCCTGGAAAACTGGATGAAGACTGTGGACCTCTCCAGGGCTTTTCCAGGGCTGGCCAAGCTAGTCCCCTGAACAGAGAGCCCAGGGAATATTAGGAATGGCGCATCCGGGAGCCCACCTCTCTGCCCCCAGGCTAGGAGCTATCCCTGGACCTGGGAAGGTACAGTGAACCCACCCCAGCGGGGAGCGGGGGGGCATCAAGTCTTTGAGACCCTTGGTGCTGCTCTTTGGAGCCACCTGCATTGGACCCAAAGGCCGAGGGAGGACGGCACCTGCCGTGCCCCGCCTCCCACCGCAGGCCTTCCGCCCCAGGCTCTGTCAAGTGTTTCCTGGGTCCTCCCTCACCACCTGAGGGGACACTTTCCCCAGAGGGGAGCCCAGGACTTGATGCCAAGGGCCACCCCCAAGGAATCACCCAGTCCCTGAGTCCTGGCTGAGCCAACGTCCAGGCCTAGTGACGGTGGGTGACGGTGACAGGAGCTTTTTAGATCTTGCCTCTGACCCTCGTCTCAAGCTGGGTGGGACTGGCTGGTACCAAGGCCAGGGAGCCCATTCCTCACCTCTCCCTGCCAGCAAGATGGGTTTGTGAACTAAATCATTCCTTCCCCGCCAGGCCCACAGCCATTATTCCAGTTCTCTACTCTGGAATACATCCAAGGGCCCAGAGGTGTCTCCTCCTCCTCCCTTGCCTTCTTTAATCCATCCCTAGATGAAGTACAAGTCTAATCATACTGTCCCTAGCTCAGACCTCCGTAAGGACTTGCCAGTCTGGCATCAAGACCCTGTCTCCCAGGTCCCGCTGGGTCCTGGCTGCCCTGCAGCCTCCCAGGCTTCATGTACCCCCCCGACCCCCTTGAACTCAGGCGCCAGCACTGCCTGGGACAGAGACCCTTCACACCACCCTGGGTCTGGCTGCCTGGTTACTTCTTCCTCCTTTTGGCTATGAGGAAAGGGAGAGGCTCTGTGTGGTTTCCTGCTGTGCTCTCAACCCTCAGGCCAGGGTCTGGTCTACAACAAGTGTGATGTGCGAACAAGGAGGACTGGGGACCACCAGCCTCCCAGTCCGTCTGATCCAGGGTACCTGAAACCAAAGGCGGGGTCTGCCCCACCTCCCTCACCAGCTGCCCTGCTCCGGCCCCCAACGGAGTGTCTCATCTCACCTCCAACTCCTCATAGGGAGGCAGGGGCATAGGACTCCTATTCCACCCTGCGTGCTAAATGCTCTCCCAAGAGAACCCACAGTTTCTCCATCTGTTGAACCGCAACATGGCACTCCCCTGAGGGCAGTGTGGGAGGCTTCTGAGAGGCAGACACTCTGGCCGTGGCGGCAGGTGATAAAATCTGCCCCTCTCACCTCTCCTGCTTGGCCGGCCCCTTTCCTGCCAGGATGACTGAATATGGCTCACATCCCAGTGGGTCTCATGGGCCTCTGTCTGGACAGGGCTACAAGGGAGGCGGGCCCTCCAACCCCTGCCCTCTTCCAAGCCTGGCTCATCACCAAGGTCCCAGTCTCACCGACAAGCCCCACCCCGCTATGGCAGAAGCCCCGCCCCCCTCACCTCCAACCTTGGCCCTCTTCCAAGCCCAAGGTCCCACCTCTCCCGGACAAGACCTGTACCTCACAGTGGAAGCCCCACCCCTTGCCCAACACCCACCCTCGAGGCTGTGTCCTGGCCGTCGCCCTGCCTTAGCTCCCAACTCGGTTCTGCTTACTCCATCCACCCTGGTCTCCAGTCCCAGGGGAGGCCTCCGACACTTTGCCGTGCCTGGTGTTGAACCCCCCGGCCTCCCATACCTGGGCTGAGCTGGGTACCCCCTACTCTCCAGTGTCCTTCAAGGTCACCTCCTGGGGAGCTCCTCTCTGATCCCAGTGACCCTGAGATACTCTCAGCGCCCTGTACCATTCCTTCCAGGCAAATTTCTCGGGTTAAGGTAAAATGGTGAGGGCGTGATAATTTCTGTAACACTGACCTTCCTCCACCAGACTGAGCTGGGTGGGGGGCAGGCGCTGGCCTGTCCCGTCAGTGGGCCCGGCGTTGAGGTACCATCAGTGACCAGTACATGATCACTGACTACATGTGGGGACATGGCGGGGGAGCCCTCCCTTGGGGGCCAGTGCAGCGGCAGGTGACTCCGCCCCTCCCCCACTGCGGGCTCCTGGGGAGGCGCCACCTACCTGGAGCTGGTAAGGCTTTCCCGCCCGGATCAGCTGGGAGACGAGGAAGTTTGTGTGGAAAAAGTGCACGTTCTCATCCAGGAAGCCGTGCAGGATAAGCAGGCGGTTGGGCCTGGAAGACAAGGCTGGGTGAGGGTCGGAGGCGGGACCCAGCCCTAGCGGCAGGCGGGAGGGCAGCTCTGCAACGCGCCGGGAGCAGAACTGAAAGCCTCAAAGCTGGGGGTGTGACAAGCAGGGCTGAAGACCCCCCCACTTTCTTCCAGGCAAGGAGCCGAGCGGCACAGGGAAGCTTCTAGAACAGGGCTGCCCCACAGCACTGCAGGGCGATGGAATGTTCTAGACCTGCCCTACCCATTGCAGTCACCGCCATCATCACCACATGCAGCTACTGAGCACTTAAAATGTGGCAGGAGTGGCCAAGAGCCTGTCATTTAAAAACATTCGATTCTTTTTTCTTTTCCAGCGAGAAGGGGGAGGGGCGGGGAGAGAAGGAGAGCCTCGAGCGGGCTCTCCGAGACCTCACGAGCCTGGGGATCATGACCTGAGCTGAAATCAAGAGTCGGACACTTAACCGACTGAGCCAGCCAGGCGCCCCTACAAGTCTGATTTTTAAACATAACTTATTGAGGTAAAATCTACAAAACTCCAAACTCCCTCATGTGAAACGGGACGCTTCCAGGGCATTTGGTGGATTCACGATGTCGGGGAGCAGCAGCTCTATTTGGCTCCAGCAGAGCCCCCGCCCTCAGCGGTCTCCTCCGACCCCTGCCAACCAGCCAGTCCGCGTCTGTCCCGTTGGAGTTACTGTCAGCGCCCTGTGGGCTGTGAACCCACGTGAACTGACATTCGGGGGGCGCATGGGTGCTCCTGGCTCCTGGACCGGACGGCACAGGCCCAGAGCACTGGGTTTTCGAGCTCCGCCGTCCCCAGGCGCCCCCAGAGAGCCCGAGCCGCACTCCCGCCCACGGAGAGCGGCCTCACTGGGAGAGGGCAGGGGGCGCAGGCGGGGCCGGCCTGCACAGAGAGCCCAGCACGGAGGGCAGGGGCCCGGGGAAGCGGTTCACCAGACAGAGCCGCACCAGACCGCGGCAACACCACGCTTCCCTTCAGAGAAAGAGGCCGATGGCAAAGCATGACATGGTATATGCCTCAGCCGGTCCCACGGCCCCGGATGTTACAACCGTGGGGACCCGTGTCCCGAGCCGCTGCATGTCAAAGTCCACAAAACAGGCCGATCTGGTTCAAGACCAGGCGACAGCCCCACAGCTCGCCCCGTGCTTGGGGAGTGAGGGAGGCCTACGTGTGCAAAGCAGCGCGACTCTAGAGCCTTCTTTCCATCATTCTGAGGGCAGGCCTGAGCCTCCTCCCTCCCAGGGCACCCTGGGCGCCGGCCTGCTTCCGTGAGCGGCAGTGACACAGGGAGGAGGGCTCACGGGGGTGTGAGGCGGCCGCAGAGGGGGAGGCCTAGGGCCGGCCAGAGAACAGCGCCGATGTGGGAGGCACCGCGGCCACTTGCCCCAGCAATGGCAGGGGCAAGGGAGGGGCGGCAGGAGAAATGGGGGCCTTGGCGCCCGCAAGGCTGGAGCGGTGGGAGCCTTACTCGTTGGGCAGCTTCTCCACGTGCAGAGCTACAGAACCCGCCTCGTAACCCAGCTGGTTGTTCTCCGGGACGTCCATGTAGCGCTCGGTGTAGCCTGTGTCGTAGGCCATCCACACCGTGACCGGGGCGCCCGCGATGGCCACCTGAGGGCCACAGTGGACGGAGCGGGGTCAGGGAGACAGAGACAGAGAGAGAAGCAGAGGGAGAGGACAGGAAAGGAGAGAGAGAGACACACACACGGGTCAGGTCTCAGGAGCCCTCGCTCGCCTGCCGGCGGTCCCGGGGCCTCCCCCGAAGGACGTGAGGAGCGGGCATGCACACAGGGGGCTGGCGGGAAGGGGCCCTCAGACCGTGCGTCCCCCGCGGATCGTGCGTTGTCGAGGGAGGGCGGGTGAGCTGAACGAGTGCGTTCAGGCCGGGATCGGCCCCTCCCTGGTCCCACTGCCTTCCTGCCTCCTCCTCCTCATCGCCGCCCCGCGGTGCCCGGACAGTGCCGCCGGCCTGGGCCCCTCCCCCGACGCTCTTCACACCGTGCCCCACCTCTGCCCATCCGAGGCCGGGGTCCCGGGCTCAGCCTCCCACAGAGAGCTGCTGGCGGGGTTTTGTGCAGCCGGACGCCATCCTGGGGTCAGCAGTGGCGGGCAATGAGGAGGGGGGCTCGGCCCCATGGGGCTGCTGCGGGGAGAAACAGCCACGTGGCAAGGCCCCTGCCGAGACGCCTCTCCGGGGGGGCGGGCTCCGAGGGGGCACAGGCGGGTGCCCGCAACCAGGAGGGGGACGGGGCAGGACCCACCTTGAAGACTTGGGGCTTATGGATGAGGCCCATGAGCGAGAGGAAGCCTCCGTACGACCACCCGTGGATGGCGACCCGGTTCAGGTCGACGAAGCCGTACTTCTCGGCCACAAACTGCAAGCCCTCCACCTGGTCCTCGATCTCCACCTGGCCCTGGGGAACGAGGCCGGGCACCTCTCAGAGGCCTCCTTCCGTGTGCGTGCCCTGCTGTCCCACCTCTGTCCCGTGTGGACCAGCAGCAGCTCCAGAAGCTACTCCTTTCTCCAGACCCTGTTCCAGTCTGCTCTCGGTTGGGGGGGGGGAGGTCAGATGGGCCCAGCTTCAGTCTTCAGTCCTGCCCTGCCACCTCCTGGCTGACCCAGAGAGAGTCCCATCTCCCCTTCTGGGCCTCAGTTTCCTCATCCCAAAACTAGGACGTCAACGCGAATAGGACCACTTTGCAGTGGGCGCAAGGAGGAAATGAGGTGGTGAGCGTCCTGCACTCAGAGGCCTCGAACACGCTAAGGCTCGATGGACAGTGGCTGTCATCACCGTCGTCATCCTGATCACCACGACCGCCATCCTCACCGCTGTCACCACCCTCCACCATTGTCTCCATCCTCACCACCGCCACCACCATCGTTCCCACCATCACCTCTGTCTCCATCACAATCACCAGTATTCCCACTGTGAGTACCATCGGCTCCATCCTCCTCACCTCCACCACCAACACCACCATTGTCTCCATCCTCACCACCATCATTCCCACCATCACTGCCATGTCTCTGTCCTCGCTACCATTCCCACCACCATCACCACCATCACCTCCATCCTCATCACCATCATCTCCATCCTCCTCATCATCATTCCCATCAACACTACTGTCTCCATTTTCCTCACCACCATCATTCCCATCATACCATCTTCTCATCACCTCCACCACCATCTCCATCCTCACCACCACCATCATTCCCATAACCACCACCATCACCACCATCACCACCATCATCATCACCACCGTCACCGTCACCATATCATCATCACCACTACCATCACCATCATCACCATCATCACCATCACCACCATCATCACCATCACCACCACCATCATCACCACCACCATCACCATCATCACCACCATCACCACCATCATCACCATCATCACCACCATCACCACCACTTCTATAGCCACCAGTCCCCGGCTGGTCCAGCCACTGGGACTTCCTGCTGACAGGGCCTACACTGATATGTTTGGCTCATCTGGGCCTCGGGCACTGGGACGGGTGGATCTCTGTCTCCCCATGGGGTGCGGCTCAAAGCACAGCATCAGAGTAGACATTCTCCTTGGTTCCAAAAGGCTTCCCTACTAATCCTGGCATCCTGGCTGGGACTGCCCTGAGGAGGTGTTCCAGAGCTGCCCCCGGGCCCCAGGGCTCCCCTCACCACACAGGGAAGGCCCCGAGAAACTGTGAAGACATGTTACCATTTGGTTTTTCAGGGCCCCTTCGAACCGAAGCCCTCGCTGACACGAGCCCCTGCCATCGATCACAACTACAGCATAGCCCAGGGACGCCAGCGTGTTGAGCCGCAAATACTTGATTCCTTTAAAGGAGTTATTCACCAGCTGCACCTGTGAGGGGAGAGCGGGGAGGGGACGTGGAGCTTTAGGGTGAGTGGCGAGGACTCCAGTATGACATGCCAGGCAGGAAGGGCTGCATGGGCCAGAGGCTAGGAGTCTCACAGCCTCATCAGGGCTGCCACGCTTTGCTGTGAAGGCTGTGGTCGGCCCCAGAAAGCTTCTAGCCATGGGGGAGTAGAAGCCCAGGGGCGGGGGCCCCCTCCACCAAGCCTGTGCTTGAGACGGGCTCCCTCCCCAGCCCTTCCCTGGGCTCAGTCCCTGATTTTTTCAGCCCCGTTCTGCTTCCCCTCTATCTGCGTTTTCTCCAAAAACAGACAAACCCCGGTGCTGTTCTCGGGCTAACTTGACGTTAAACAGTCTCTCACTTTGGCTCTACTGATGTTTGCTGCCTTATTGGTCCCTGGCCTGGGGGGGCCATGTCGGCTACTGCGGGGCACGGACCATCCCAGGCCCCCACCATAGCTCTGATGACTACACATGTTCCTGGGGATCCCTAAATGTTCCCTGGGGGACAGAACACCCCCAGATGAGGAACTGCCATCTCACATGGACCCAAATGCCAGTCTGCCTGCCTGCACCTGTCTCGTCCCCTTCTCAGAGAACAGGGTCCAGGGCCCATGGTCACCTCTGTCCCCAAGTATGTGACCAAGGGTGACAGTGGGTCACTGCTGGGCAGGTGGGCCAGACAGACACCTGGGGACTGGGGAGGTTTCCCAGAGGGACAAGGGAGCACCAGCAGGTGAAAAGGGAAGGGAGCTACATGAGAAGGTGGGGTGTACAGACACCCAGAGGCAGGGGAGCGAGGGCCCCCAAGGACCCTGTGTGGTCAGTGGGGCTGCGGCCCCCTCACACGAACCCTCCTTCTGGCCTGGCTGGCACCTGAGTCCTGGCATGAAGGAGGAGGGGTGTGGGCAGCAGGGCTGACACCAACCTGGGGGCCTCCGTATACAAAGAGGACTGTGGGGTGCTTCTTCCCAGGCTGCACAGCGTGGGGCTTGTAGATCATGCCGTAGAGCCGCACGTCTGACCGCGTGTGGAAATGGAAGATTTCTGGGGGCACGTAATCCGGGGGGCAGCCTGCGGAGACAGAGTGGCTGTGGCTTCGCGGGCTGGAGGGCACCAGGGAGGCACAGGTGGCAGAAACCCACGCTCTGTGGCCCGGCCCTTGGCTGCGGTGGGGGATGGGAGGCGCCCCGTCTTCTGTGCTTCCTGATGGTTTAAATCAGAATCTGAGGGCCCCAAAGGACTCTGGGCAGGCTGTGGTCCCCCACAACACTTGCTGATCTGATCTCCTTTGGGGGTGGCCACGCCTCTGGGGTCTGAGCGACAGCCAGTGCTATTGTCTGCTTCTGACTGTCCTTCAGTGCTGCCAATCGACCCTGGTTTTCCAAACATGACAGTGAGGCAAATGTCCTTCTTTATGATTATCTTGGAAAAGTTTATTTAGGGAAATCGAGAAAGTCAACTAAAAAGAAATACGTCAACAGTCATGGAGGCTGGAAGGCCTCCAGTGCTTTCTGTAAAGGCTCAGACGATGAGTACTTCTGTCTCTGTGTCTTAACTATGTGGCTTGGCTGTCACAGCCCTAGTGTGGCTACGGACAGTCCCTAAATGCCCGGGAGTGGCTGGGCTTGGCGCGCAGGCGTGTTCGCCCACTTCTCAGGGAGGTGAGCTACAAACATGGCAAGACCGGCTATTTCCAGACGTGGTACCTCATTCCACCTGCCCAGAAGCCCAGGGCTGGGCACCAGGACGCAGGACTTCCCACTGTTGTCCCCCTTGCTCTGCTGGGTGTCCTGGTAATAAGACCCACCCTTCCCTCAGTTTCATCTCTAACACCCGGCCCAACACCCCGCCCAGGGTTCCTGCGCTGTCGCATTCTGCGGTAACATAGGGAGAGTCAGACTGAGTGAGCTACTGGCTGGAGCCTTCTCACTGGGTTCCGGAGGGTGATGACCTAACAAGACGCCTTCCAGCCCACAAAACACCCCACAAACGCCGGGGATCCTTATTTCCTAAAATGTTCTAGTAATCTAGCAGGTGGCGAATCTGGGGTCAGGGAAGGGTGTCCCTTTTAGTGTGTGATCTCCGTGGGCTAGGCGCTGTCCAGAATGTCTGGTTTTCATCCTACAGACTGCCTGCCATGGAACCGTTTCATAGAGAAGGGACACATTCGAGGGAGACTGACTACAGTTCTGCAGCCTGCAAACAATCTGGGGTCACCTAAGCAGAGTCTGGGCCACCCCTTAAGCTCCTGGGCAAATGGGTAAGTTGCCTCCTGTCCCCCAAGGCCATGCTCGTGCCCGACCCACAGCTCCTTCCAAAGGCATCGGGACGTGTGCCCTGTGCAGACACCCTTGGAGACAGCAGCCCGAGAGGATGAGGATGTCCTGCACGGGGACCCCCAGGTCTGGCAGCCGGTCGCTCCTTGCCATGTTAACGGCAGTGCAGAAACTAGACACCGGTCCAAGTGGCAGGGCGCACGGGACAGGTGGGGTCACTGGTAATGGTCAGTGATAAGCTCTCAGGGCCCCTGGGCCCCTTGCTGCCTCGAAGCTGCCAGAATAGCCCTCCCTCGCCAGGGTCACGTCACAGGGCTGCATTCCATTTTACAGACAGGCAAGCAGAGGCTCCCGGGGATGGCAGGTACGGGGAGACTTGGCCAGGGTCCCCAGGCATGTGGGGGCTACTCACTGGCCGCCTCCATCATGCTGGCCCAGAAGTGGGGCTGCTTGTGCAGAGGGTCGTCGTCGGGGCCGCTGAGCTTATAGACGTGCACGCAGGGCGGGGTGCCCACGCTGCTGTAGTGGCTGACGAACATGTCGAAGTTCTGCAGGCAGGACGGGGGCTGAGCACCGCAACATGCGTGTCCTTCCCGACCTCCCCGGCCGCTTTGGCTCCCCCTGCCCCCATCAGCCGCCAACCTCTTTACTGTCTTTGCCTTGTGTGCTCACTCCTTTAAACTTCGACGCTCTTCCCCTCACATGAGGTGGGCGCTAGTACCATTGCCCCCATTTCACAGATATGCCAACTGAGGCCGAGAGGAATCTGTCCCCTGGCCAGGGACCCCCAATACCCCCACCCCAGTGGTAACTGACAGACCCAGGCTCATACCCAGATCCTTCTGACGCCACAGCCTGCTCGCAGTGCTGGTTCTACAGCACCTGGACCGGAAGCAGCCCTGGGCACGATCACTGCCTGATAATCTAGACGTTCTGACAGGCTAAGGATGGGTGCCAGAGTGGTGCCCTCAGGCACATCGAGGGAGGGCCCACCTGGCTCATGGAGCAGCTGTGGGAGAAGCCGGGAGCGGTGAGGCGCACGATCTCGCCCGCTGTCTCATAGCTGACCACGTAGAGGTGGTGCTCCAGGGGCGTGTCCTTCGTACCTTGGAAGTACACCAGCTTCGTCTCCTCGTTGACCCAGATCTGTGGAGGCACAGGGGCTCCTCGTGAAGCAGCCCCAGGCCGGGCCTCAGACTTCCTGTGCCTTTCCCCCCGCGGTGGCTGGGGCAGGGATGCAGACCCTTCTCCTGCCCCCACAGGGAAGGCCCCGAGTTCTGTGGCTGGGACATTTGTTCTCTCCCCAGCGGGCTGTAGCACACCGGCCGGAGAGGAGCTAGCTGAGAGAGAAGCGCCTCTCGGACCTGGAGGGGAAGGGGCGGACTGTGCGCCCCCAGGTAGACTTGAAATTGGAACCCCGACCCCAGACAGCCCCTTCTGGGCATGCCCAGAGCTGCAAGGGTGGAGCAGAGGGCACAGTGACTAGGACAGAGGCTGAGAGAGGGGCTGGCCTGTGCCCGAGGGCCCATCTGTCCCCGGAGCCCTGGACCCCAAGGGATCAGCCCACCCCTCTGACCCAGGCGTCTGGGGCTAAGAAGCTGCACCTGCCTAATGGGTGAACCCGCATCAGAACCCGGTGTGATGTTTAGGTGATGAGGCCTCAGGGAGAGCAGGAAGGAATTCTCCTCTGGGGATCGGAAAAGCCACTTACGGCCTCTCTGGGGCCAACCAGGCAACACGGTTAAAGGTGTGTTCTCTGAGGCAGCGACTCTGCTCTGGGGACCTGCCTGAGGGCTCCGCCTGGAGGCGACTTCAAGTGGGAGGACAGATATGCTGTGTTCTTAATGTTAAAAAAGGACGATGACTTGAAAGTCCAAAATGACAGATGGGTTTCAAAATAATGGCACACTTCTCTGCAGCCACATAAAGCCATATTTTCTTAAAGAAAACAAAAACGCCCCAACTCCTCCAAAACCTCCAAAACCATGTCCTGTGGAGGGGCGCGCGGCTCAGTCGGAGCAATGTGCCACTCTTGTTCTTGGGGTTGTGGGTTCGAGCCCAAGCCGGGTGCAGAGACGGCTTAAGTAAGTCTTTAAAGAACAGAACAAAACCCCTAATGTCTCGTGGACATGTGCGCACACAGAAGCGCTCCACTGGGGTTTTCGCCGCAGTCGGCCCCCTCCGAGGGAATAAAGCTTCGGGAGTCTGGGTGGGGTGGGGAGTGAGAGGATCCCTAATGTCAGGTTACTTCGAACGGTTCAGTTTGTACAGCAGACACTGATGTATCCTTTGTTGCCGTCCTTTTCAAATAAATGCAGGTTTTCTAGAAACAGAGCATGTCTCTGGAAAACTCCTAGCCGTGCGCAGTCACCGGCCAGTTTTGTCACCAGGACCACGGGAGAAGATGCACACACGGAAGGGGGTGCTCCCGGGCGCCTGGATCTCCCCCACCCCCGAGGCCCCCAAACAGGGCAGACGGCTCAGACCCGCGCCCTGCCGGTGCGCACGGCCTCTGGAGGGGTGTGAGAGGCCGGGCTTTCCCTCTGTAACCTTGAACATGCTGCTCTGGTGTCCGCGAGATGTCAGTTAGTAATAAAAATAAAAATAAGCCGCCACAGCTTCTTGTCTTCTTCTTTTTTTAACCGTCTGGGAAAAACCCAGGCATGCAAGGCCCGCAAGGCCTACGGGGTGGCAAAAGGGGAAAATTCCAGCTGGCAGGTCTGCCAGACACTATGCTGGGGGTCTTGGGTTACTTTAAACCAGGGTCCTCATCAGGGCGGTCCTGCCCCCTCCTCTCCCGGGGACACGTAGCAACATCTGGGGACATCTGTGGCTGTCACAGCTGGGATGAATGGGGCCGGGGAGGCTTTGCCGCCCCACAGCCCCCACAGGACGCCTCGATGTGAGCAGTCCTGAGCGGGAGGGACTGGGGGTGCGGGGGCGCCTCTTAGCAAGAATCCACCAGAGCAGAGCGAACGAGGAGGCAACCTTCAACCTTCTGGTACCCTGACCTCCAACTCGCCTCACATACGGGAGGTGAGTGTGAGATCTGACACCTTGCTTCTGGTCTGAGTCAGGTGTGCCCCCTGGACCTACTGCTGTCCCTCCTCGTGGGCTCACTCAAGTGTGTACTGACCACTATTTCCCCTGCACGAGCAGCTCTGGGACACACGCATGCCTGGACGCATGCTAACGTCTCTCATGTCTGTCTCTGGTCCAGGAGGCATTTATGCTGCTGTGAGGTAGGGATCCGGGAAATCTGATTAAGAGCTCACGCCATAAAATTTGGAATTTTGTAGAACTAGACCCTGGTGAAGAAGCTCTCGTCAGAGGCAAGTCTTGCCGCGTTTTTATGCTCGTTCACTTGGGTGAGTGGAAGGTACACCACTTCTCTGCAGCTGCGTCTTTGTCCCCAAACCTCCCAGGGACAGACACTGGGGCAGGGCCCACTGGATGCCACAGGACAATCCCACGGTAGGCAAAGTGTCTCATCAACTGCTCTCCCAGGGAGAGGTGAGTTCACGGAGCAGGAGAAGGCTACGGGAATGCAGCAGGTGCACAGAGGAGCCCCCACGTCCCGGACTGGGCTTGTCTCCAGCTGGCCAGAGCCCTGTGGCCCTGGGCGTGCTGGAGCAGTGGACGGAGCTGAGTGGAGCAGAGCAGGAGGCAGGCGCAGCCAGGAGGGAAGAGAGAAGCCACAGGCACACGGGTCTGCAGGGAAGCTGGAGCGAGCGTACGCACGTGTCTATGCACGTGTGCACGCACGAGCGTGCGTGCGGGGCAGGCGGGGAGGGTTGCAAAGAGATTCTGGTACCTTGGAGCCGTGCCTTGCCAAAACCTCCCATTCACCGCTAGTCAGCGCGATCTCCTCCTTGATGGGGCATTTAAATTCATCTGGAAGTAAGGAAAGGAAGAGGTGAAGGGGGCCCCAGGCAGGCGTGAAGGGGACTCAGAGGCCCTGAGGCCAAATTCCACCTGAGCGAGCTTGTCCCAGAGCCCCGTGCAAGCGGGCCACGTGGGAGACGAGAGTGAGCTCGCTAAGTCCCAGCCACGGGACAGGGCAGGGACCCGCCACGGAGGCTGTGCGCACGTTCCGGCGTCTCCCAGGGAAAACCAGACAGCTGTGTTCGTATTGGAAGCACGGGTATTAGAACCCCGCAGAGGCCAAACCATCAACTTCAGGGCTTGCGACCTATGACCTCTCAGCACAAGTCTGGACTGTGGAGAACCAGATCTTGGTTAAAACCACTATGGCTGAGGGGTGCCTGGGTGGCTCAGGGGGTAAGCGTCTGCCTTCGGCTCAGGTCAGGATCACATCCGGCTCCCTGCTTCTCCCTCTGGGAGTCTGCTTCGCCCTCTGCCGCTCCCAGCTTGTGCACGCGCGCTTTCTCTAACAAATTAAAAAAATCTTTAAAAACAAACAAACAAACAAAAAACCCACTTTGGCTAAGCAAAGCCGCGGCTGAGTTCTTATGACATACTTTTTGGATTTTTGGGGGTAGATCTCACTTCTGAATTTCCGCCAGGTAAATAATTACGGAAAGCCTGCTGGCACACATTCCAAATTTATTGAGACAGTTTACGAGTGATGGCTGTTTCATTCTGGACAGCTGGGTCTGGGAGGCAGAAAAGACTCCTCCTGTGTCCCTCACTCCCATGGAGGCCGGACACGGCTGACCGGTCACTCATCCAGATCTTTTGTTTTTAACCTGGAAAGCTTCACCAGTTTGCGTGTCACCCTCGCACAGAGGCCCCGCTCATCTTCTCTGGATCGGTCCAGCTCTAGCCCTCTGCGGAGAGCGCTCATTCAAATCTTATCGGGGCCGTTCTCAGTGGCGTCTACAGAAGGAGCAGGGGCAGCAGAGCCGCAGGGGACTACCGTTAAGAGCCCTGCTTCTGCTCCATCCTCCTGCCCCACTGGGAGGACCCGGGGCACTCCACGCTTACGGCCATGGTCCCTCAGCCCTCCGGGTACAAGCCGGCACCTTTCTGTGGAGGGGCTGCCGACCATGCCCGCTCAGCTCTCTCTCTCTCTCTCTCTCTCTCTCTCTCAAGGGGCCCTCCGCTGCAAAGGACACCCCGTGCGACCCAGACACACCGCTCCTGCCGGTGCTGTTCCCGCGTCTTGCCGGTCCTCCAGGCTCCTGACCCTCCTCCTCCTCCCCCAGGCCCACCCATGGCACCTCTAATGAACTCATGCCTTTTGGTCCAAAGTGACCAAGGTCTCGCCTTCTTAGCCGTCCAGTTGGCACCTAGCAGGCCTGAGCCACATGACGGGAAGTGCAAGCGGGGAGGGCAGGTGGGAAACCTGGGGCGCCCACCACAGAGGCCGGAGGGGCACCTGCCACGAGCTCCAGCCCGCGGCCAGAGGCTGCGACGAGGATGTGCCCAGTGAGGTCTCCCGAGGTAAGATCAGGTGGTCCGGCCAAGTCAGACAGACAAACGGGAAAGCACAATACCGGAGAGCCACAGAAAAAGCCGCCTTGGAGATGGCCTAGCCAGCCTGTGCTGACTGCAGTACACCCCAGGTGACAGCGGTGGCAACACCCTGAGAGGGCAGTTGCTCTTCTGTCCCTGTCTTACTCGACCCCCATCAGCTTGTGGCTTCGCCTGTTCCTGCCCCTGGCTCAGCTCCCCTGACACCTCGCGCTCTCCGTGCCCCGTGGGGCACTGCCTCAGGCTTGTTGGCGGGCTGCCTCTGAACTGTGGGGCTCCCCTGGGGAGATCTGGCCCCGGGGGACACAGGGCGATGTCTGGGGACATCTGGGGCTGTCACGATCCTGGGTGCTCCTGGCACTGAGTGGGTGGGGGTCAGGGAGTACTGCTCAGAGCCCAGGACGCTCCCACTGAGGACAAGCTGGCCCGGGGTCCATAGCGCTCGTCGGGGGGAGCCTGAGGGGCCCTGGGCTGGCTCGCAGCCCACACTGCTTCCCCGCCCAGACCTGGCCTTTTGCTGCTCCGTCCTGTCCCAAGGCCGAGACACCGTCTGTGTGAGGCCGCCCACATGCCCACTGCACATGCGTCTGCTCCCCAGAACTTCGGGCAGGTGGACCCACCCGCGCAGCACGGCCACTTCTGGGCACTGCCACGTGAACATGTCCAAGCCCCAGCTAGACGTTTCTCTCCTAAAACTGTCCCTCCCAGGTCCTCCTGTCTCACACTGACCCTCCAAAATCCCTTCAGGCACCTGAGTCTTTCCTCCTTCTCTCTGCCTCCACCCGATCCACCACCACACCGCAGTGACTCGGAGGTCAAAGTTCATCCAGCATCAAATCCACCTGCGTCAGTCCAGCCTGCTGCCATGACCCATCCCTGTCACCTCTCCTTGCCCCTCAGCTGTACCCCACACGGCAACCCTAGGGATGGCTTTAAACTAATATAAGATCAGTGGTAAAAGCCCAAGTCCTCCCTGAGGCCCCCGACACCCCGCACCAGCTGCCCTGTCCCCTCTCTGCCCTCCCCTCCTCTGTCTCTCCCCCTCACTCACTCTGCTCCAGCCACAACGGTCTCTTCTCAGCTCTTCCAACACGTCAGGCAGCTACTGCCCCAGGACCTTTGCACAGGCTGTGCCCTCAACCTGGAATGATCTGTGGGGCTGCCTCTGCCACCTGTTCCAGGTCTCTGCTTCATAACACAGTATCCACAGATGTCCCCTGACCTCCCATCCTAGAAAGAAGGCCCCTCACTCTCCAGCCTCTTGTCCTGCTGCATTTGCCACCACGCTCATTACTCTCAATTGTTTTTGGATCCTTGCCCCTGTCCTCCACTAGAGAGCTCTGTAAGAGCAGGGATTTTCCTTTCTCTCTGTGTAATCACAGCCCTGGCACCTAGAGCAGGGGTTGGCCACATTCCCTATAAAGGGCCAGACAGCCAACATCTTCAGCTTTGCAAGCTAGATGTCACACTGCTGTCACACTACTCAACTCTGTCATTGGGGCCTGAAATCAGCCACAGACACTCTTAGTAAAAGAATGAGCGTGACCATGTGCCAATAAAACTTTATTTACAAAAATAAACGCTGGGCCGGATTTGGTCCGTGGCCGTGGTGTGCTAAGCCCTGGTGCGAGATGGGCCTGGTGCGTAGCAGGTGCTGCACAGATAACACTGACTGAATGAACGGTTGCCTCTAATAGCCTCGCCAGGCCATAAGGGATGTTCGGAAAGGGCAGGCTTTTTCCTCATCCTGCCCCTCCCTCCTGGAACTGGTCGCGGGGTGGGGTCAGTGAGTCAGCAGCGCCCTGAGCCACAGACGGCTGCCTGGGTGAGCGACGGCGCTAGTCAGGCTTTGCTCACCTTCCCCAGGGCTGAGAGGCCCACTCCAGTCGTAGCCACTGGGCTTTAAGACGGCGGTGACCTTGTACAAGTGGCAGAAGCCAGTCTTGCACTCGTTGGCACGAATGAAGCAGAGCTCATCCTCTCCCTCTGACTGGGGGAAGGGATAGAAGATGTCATGAACCTGTCCGGGAAGGAGAGAGAAGAGGCATGAGGAGGTGGGGCTCTGAGAGTTGGCTGGTCGCGTGTAGAGGATGAACCCGGCCCCCCGGGGAAGCCCGCCTGCCCCAGCCCTGCCCCACTGGGGATCTGGGGGCCCGGGCGGGGTGCACACCCGGCAGCTCCCCACCCTTACGTTGATCCACACATCGGTGACCTCCTCATACACGACGTGAGGCTGGACGTCCCTGGGCACTGCTCTGGCGAAGGCCAACCGCTCCTCCGCGTTCTCGGTAACGGGGATGAACAGGGCCGGGGGCAGCAGGACGAGCTGAAGCCGCTGCTGGGGCCGATCCAGGAACATAGCCCAGGCGCTGAGAGAGCAAGAGGGAGGGACGGTGAAGGCCTCAGGGCCCAGCAGGAGGATGCTGGGTGACAGACACCTCCCTCCCCAAACTTATGTGGGCCCAGAGCCGTTCCTCCTCTGCCAATGTACTGTGCCCTTGACCTAGTGAGCCCGTAGCACACAAAGGTTTCCTGGCCAGCACATGACCTCAGGGGAACCTGGGGGTGACGGGGCTCTATAACCCGAGTACTCTGGAAACATGCCACGTCGTCAGACCTTAGAGCGGCATTTCAAAAACGTCTACCAACTTCTGCCACGTACATGGTTCTTTACTGCCTGTTTTGCTCCGAACGACAATGTTCTTTCGTTCTTTCTCTTTGGGGGAAATAAACTGTTTATTCTGTGGAATAACATGAATCTTTAAGGACCTGAGATGGAAGCGAATGGCAACTTAAAAAAAATCCTGTTGGTTGGGGTTCGGGCAGCTGGCTGGCTCGGCCGGTGGAGAGGGCGGCTCTCGATCTCGGGGTCAGGACGTCGAGCCCGTGCTGGTGTAGATTGCTTAAAAAAATCCGGAGCTCCTTTGTCATTATGTTCTACCCTCAGAACAGCTGCTTTGGCAGGGGCGCCTGGGTGGCTCAGTGGGTTAAGCCTCTGCCTTTGGCTCAGGTCATGGTCTCAGGGTCCTGGGATCGAGCCCCGCATCGGACTCCCTGAGCAGGGAGCCCGCTTGCCCTCTCTCTCTGCCTGCCTCTCTGCCTGCTTGTGATCTCTGTCTCTGTCAAATAAATAAATAAATAAAATCTCAAAAAAAAAAAAAAAAAGCTGCTTTGGAACAGAACTTTGAAAAACCGTTTTCTGTGCTCTTTCCATCTGTAAATGGACAGGTTTGCAACGGCGGCCTATTAGTCCCGGAGGTAGGAAACCTGGACCCCGGCGTGAAAAAACAGCAAGAGACCACGGCGGCAAGGGACGCCATGGGGACGTGCGCGCCCACGAGAGCCTGCAGCCTGCCAAGGGCGTGGGGCCTCCGTCCAGGCTCTGAGCCGCGCGTCCGGCCGGAGGAGTGCGCTCTGTCTAGCAAAGGGCCAGCGGGTGGACAGCTCCGCTCTCTGGGCCATGTGCTTTCTCGGGCAACAGCCAGCCCCGCTGACGGAGCGTGAAAGCCGCTGCAAACGATCCGTACACAAAGGAGTGTGGCCACGTGCCCAGAAAACCTGATTTATGGGCACTGAAACGTGCTGTTCGTATCCCTTTCATGTGCGATGAAATGCTCTCTGCCTTCGGATTTTTTTTTTTTACCCCATTCATTCAGAAGCACGAAAGCTGTTCTTGGCTCACGTGCCGAAAACCAGGCGTGGGCCGGATGGGGCCGCGGGCCGGATGGGTCCTGTTCAGAGAGGTGTGTCCTCGCCACGGCAGGACGGTCACCACATGAGCGGCAGGGAGAGCCCTCTGTGCCCTGCCGGCGACACTCACTACTTGCCGTCCCGGGTCCACCCGGCCCTGGCGATGTACTCCACCCTGGGGAAGAGCGTGCTGAACGGCTGCACCAGCTCCTTCTCCTGCGTGGCCACGATCTAAAGGGCAAGCAGAGTCGGGTCACACTCTGACCTGCCCACATGCTGCCCAGACGGACGCGGGCGCTTCCGGAGCGGACACGGTGTCCCCCGAACCCCTGTGTCAGAGTCCTGACTCCTGGCGCCTCCGAACTGGGCTGGATTCCGAAAGAGGGTGATTGCCGCGGTCATCGGTCTAAGTGGTACCGGAATAGGGTGGCCCCAATCCCAAAAAAGGGGTGGTCTCTGTTTTATAACGGGGAGGTATGGGCTCCGGGGCCGCACAGGCAGTGATGGCTCCTGCAGGGAGAAGGCGGCCGTCTACAAGGCAAGGAGAGAGGCTGGGAACAGCCTCTCCCTCACCGCCTCGGGAGGAGCCAGCCCCGCCCACGTCAGCCTATCAGACTTTCAGCCTCCAGAGCTGGGAGACCGTACACTTTTGTTGTTTAAGCCCCCAGGACGCGGTACTCAGTTACCACAGCTGGTGGGCTGGAACCAAATGGGTTCTGGTCTGGACTGTGACCACGGAGGCGGGCAGCCCTGGGTGACAGGGACCTGCAGACACTGCAGCTTCCTGGAGGCATGGGGTGGGGGTGGGGGGCATGGCCTCCAGAGGGCCTAGGGGAGAAAGGCAGGCAGGGCCTCAGCGTGGCCCCTGCCCCCCCATCCTCCCAGCGCCTGGTCCCCAGGGGGCACCAGCCACGCCCACCTCAGGACCCAGCTCGCCTGCCTGGCCAGGCACCCCCTGCAGGAGCTGGGAGAGGTTCCACCAAGCCAGCTGGTGTCAGGTGTGTGTCCCATCCACCAGAACGTTCAGGGAAAGAGTGGAGGAAGGGCTGGGTTAGGGCCACATCATTCTAAAACCAAATCATGAAAATAAAGGTAGCTTCCGGTTTGTTCTGAAACCTCACACGAGAAGTCATTCTGACGGGGCGCCTGGGTGGCTCAGTGGGTTAAGCGTCTGCCTTCAGCTCAGGTCATGATCCCAGGGTCTTGGGATCGAGCCCCGCTTCGGGCTCTCTGCTCAGCGGGAATCCTGCTTCCCTCTCTCTTTCTCCCTGCCTCTCTGCCTACTTGTGATCTCTGTCAAATAAATAAATAAAATCATTAAAAAAAAAAAAAAAACAGAAGTCATTCTGACAAAAATGTACCAAGAATGTCCTCAGCTTGTCTGCGTGCTCTAAACGCTGGTGTGGGGATGTTTCCCTTTCCAGGCCCTGCATCCCTCATGGTCATTGCCTCGCCAGCCCTCCAGGCTGTGTGGTCCTGACCAAGTGCTCCCTGGGTGATGCGGACACTTGTCCTGACCCCAGGTGACAGAGAGAAGCGCACAGAGCACTGACAGGTCCCATCGAGTTCTGTGTGAGGATCTGCCCAAATACTGGGGAGTGGTTGGGGGAATGGCCGGGTCAGAGGTCGAGTCCACCAGATGACCACCCAATGGAGCTCTCTGTTCTGGAAACCCTCACGGGACCTTCTGCTCAAAGGAGCTCATCAGCACAGCCGCCTCGCGTGGAGACGGGGGAGGCCGGGCTCACTGCTCCTGAGACCGAGGCTCAGGCAGTGCCTTATCGGGTTCAGTTGGCCACGGAGAGTACCTGCCCTCGGAAAGGGGGTAGTGGGCTTGCTGATGCCGCCCAACTGTCCACCCATGTCCAACACCTCCCCCAGCCCCTCTTCTCCTCGACCCAGAAGCTTCTCCTGGGCACCCTGGCCACTCTCACCTTGCCCCGGCCATCAGTCTGAAACTCGGCCAGCTTCAAGGCGATCTTGGGATTCTTGCTGCCTGCAGAAATGAGAGGGAGGTGAGTCTGCCAAGCATCACCCACGAGGGCTCAGAGCAGGTGTCTGGGGTGGAGGTGCAAGGCGGTGCCCCAGCAAGGCCACAAAGCCCGTGTGGAAGGGAGGGGTAGAGAGGGACTGGGTATCCAAAGGTCCCTACGTGGGTGCGTGAGTCACCCCTCTCGTCCAGGCACAAAGTCCCTTAGGCAGGTCCCTCTGACTTTGGACCTGGACCTTGTTCCCAATAGCGCTGTGACAACTGGTTTTCCACTTTAAGAACATGAGCCTATGCAAGGGTGGGAAAGGCAGGTAGTGCGGGGACAGGGACATAAGGAGCACGCCTCCCTGCCTCGGAGAGCTTGACAATTGGTGGCCGAGACAGGACACAACCACAACGGAACCATCAATGATGCAGTAATGTGGCCTGTCCCCCATGAGCTGTCGGGAGGCAGGTGACTAACTGGTTGGGATGACCAAACAGCACTTTCCAGAGGTGCGCTGGGGCCAGGCTCCAGCGGTTTCTGCGGCCAGTCCCAAGTCTGGCCTGCAAAGCCCCAGCACCTGGCCAGAGGCGTCTGAGTGTCAGCTCTCCCGTCGGCCCCGTGGTGGGAGGGGGCGCGGGGAAGCTGCCGTCTCCCACTTACAGCAGGGGTTGCAGACACCACTGGAAGGCTCTATCAGGCACAACACGTAACAAGTGCTTGCCACATGCTTCCAGGGAGGTCAAAACCAACCTGAACCTGGCCTGTGTATGTGCTGTGTGCAAATCACTAAGTATTTTTAAAGAATTCAAAGAATGTTTAAGGGGTAGGCTGTTTCCTGGAGAAATTGAGATTTTTGGCCTCTTGAGAAACAGGGCAGACTTGAATCTGTGTTCTCAGGATGTGACAAGGGTCTGACCTGACCTTGGATGGGGCCTGCACCACGCCCCCCGCCCTCCTACCCCCCGGTCTCCTGAGCCCCGAGGGAGAGAGCAGGTACCATCCATTGTGGCCCTGGTCCTGCCATCGTTCTCGACCCCTGCCTGCTTCTCTGGGTCCCATGGGGTGTCCCGGTCGGGGCATGCCTCCTCTGCAAGGCTCAGACCGCTGCCCCACGCCCTCACCTGTCCTGGGGTATCGGTAGGAGTCTGTCTTCCTTTCTTCTAGTGCGGGTGAAGGCACGTGGATGATCTCCACCTCGGACTCATCAACCTCCTCGTACAGGATCCGGAGCGTCTTGCCACCATCTGAACCTGGGAAGGGGTAGCAGAGGCTGCTGGGGTGCCCCGCACCGTGGCTGCCGCCCCCGCCCTTCTCCTCCACCCTCGGGCCGCTCAGCTCCACCACGGCAGGGCCCAGACCGAGACCATGAGGTTTAGGGCTAGGACTCTGGGTCCCCGGCTTACTAGACCATAACTCCTGTCACATCTCCTCCAGGAGCCCATTTCCTGACCCTGACAAGGGGGATGACAAGGGAGCCGGTACCAGCACACAGTGTCATGGGAGGTGGCCCTACAGAGGTCTTAAAGGCTGAACCACGTCCGCAATGAAGTCCTGTGCTGGGAGCCCCCAGAAACTCAGAATGCGGCTCGACTTGGGGACAGGGCTTTAGAGAGGCGACCAAGTTAAGATGAGGTCGTCAGGATGGCCCTGAACCAACGGGACTGGTGACCTCGTAACAAGGGATGAGGCCACAGACACGCACGCAGAGGGACCAGCATGTAGGGACGCGGGGAGAAGACAGCCATGTGCTCACCAAGCAGGGAGGCCTCCGGAGCAGCCAGCCCTGCCCATGCCCTGACTCCCAGCCCCCGCCTCCAGGACCACGACAGTAAAGGCTGTTGCTGAGCTAGCCCAGCTGTGGGGCTTTGCTCCGGTGGCCCGCGCAGGGCAGCACGTGGGGCACAGCTCCAGAGGCTTAGGATAAAAACCACGACAAGAAGCACATGCATCACTGGGTAGTGACAGCTCCAACTGGAATGCAGGCCTGGGAGCTGACGTGACGGGGAGGGAGCCCGTGGCCATTCCTTTCGAGACTGCGGCAAAGGGTCCCCGTCTACAGTTTCCGGTACCCTCACCTACAACTCCCGGCGGGTGGACCAGCGATGCCTCCAGAACCAGTGGCCCAGCCCCACCCAGTGGAGCCCCAGAGGGGCTGCAGGGCTGGCTTGAGGACACATGGTTTGGGAACAGCCGCTCAAAGCCAGCGCCCAGGACTTCTTTGTCCACTCCGCAGGGAGGATTCCTGGCCCTCAAGCTCAGGCACTCTTGTGTTGCCATGGCCTAAGAAAAGCCCTGTTCCTCCAAGTAAGAGAGAACGGGGGTGACCGTGGCTGTGGGGTCTGGCAGAGGGACACACCGGGGGGGCTGATGGCTATAGCATTTGGGGGGCTCCCTCAAAAGCGTTTTTGAGCTCCACCAGCAGAGCAGAGAGAGGACCTGTGTGACCATCGAGGCCACTGGATCTCAGCTAGGGGCCGTCCTGCATGGTTGTCACAGGACGTTGAACTCGAGTGACATGTCAGGTAGAGCTCAACATGCCACAGTGGCCCGGATGGCCCTGGTGACAGGAGCGCGAGGGAGACAGCCTGCTCTCAGCCAGTGCCCTCGTCTCACTGCCCAGGAGAAAGCAGTACCAGGCTTCCGGCCCGGAGGGAGTCACGGGCTGAATGACCAATCACAGGGCCCTTGTTCCAGAGACACAGGCCACAGAGGCGTGTGACGACCGCGGGCCGGGCAGAAGGGGAGGGCATGGCGTTGGCCCCGTTAGGGGCGAGCCCGCCTGGCTCCCTGCGGTCTCTGCGCACCTCTGGTGCCTCTCTGACGCCAGCGACCCCTCCTTTTCCTGGGAGCCGACTTCACTTTGCATGGTGGTGGCTGCTTTCCAGCACAGGATTCAGTGTCTTGCTTCTACTGACGCTTAGGACTATGAAGTCTTCCTTTTCAGTCAGTGTAAGGATGAGGTGAGCTGGACCCAGGGCAGCAGAGTGTGGCGGACAGGGCTCTGTCACGGCCGTGCGCCCTGCTGAACCTCCCTGAGGCTCCAAGGCCACGGAGAAGTCAATCAGCAGTACTCCCGGTTCTGATGCTACTGGCACACATCCCAGAAACAGGTCCCCCACCCTCAGAAGATGGGTCTTGCTTGACTGAATACCAGTAGCGAGACAGCCCCACAGTGCGTGGACAGAGAAAGAGAGACACTAGGACCCGTGATCTGGCTTCCTCCAGAAGCTTCTGGCAAAACCCATCAAGACTGAGGCTGCGTGCAGCTTGGGCTCAGCTCTCTCACTGCTGGACCTCTCTCACTGGTGGGATCTCGGATCCTCGGCGCAGCTGACATCGGGGCCCAGGTCAGTCTCAATGGGCAGGGCTGAGCTGGCCACTGTAGGACGCTGAGCAGCAGCCCCGGGCCCTCTCTACTCGAACGAAACCCGCAGCCCCCGGGCGGGACAATGACAAACGTCCCCAGACGCCACCCAGCGTCTCCTGGGAGCAGAACTGTGCCTGGTTAAGAACCACTGAGAACCTCCCAGAAGGTCAGGAGAGATATACCAAGATGTTCATTGTGGTGCTGTTTAGAACACAAAGCAAAAGAAAAACCAAAACCTTGAAACAACCGAAGGGTCTGTCCATGTAGAACTAATTTAAACCTATGGTGGCCCATCCATGCCCCAGGGACAATTACTGTCATGCTAGTCCCCCGTGTGCAGACTGCAATGCCCCCAAATTCAAATGTCAAATCCTATCCCAAGGTGATGAGCCACTCGGGGCCGTGGGGTCATATCAGAGCAGTGCAAATGGCCTGGGATGCTAACACTGCTAGGAAGGCAGCTAAGGTTTGTTTTAGGCGACAAGAGCAGAGAACAGAGAAGCAGGCAGACAGGGAAGTAGGTGCCTACCCTCCCAGGAGGCCGCAGGGCACCACCAGTAGCCAGTGAACCGGTCAAATTCTTCCTGGATGACAAAAGTGGCCACGCCTGCAGACCTGGGGTCATCGAGGACGCTGGGCGAGCCTGCACGGGGAGGGAGCCACATGGGGTAAGGAACATAGGGCAGAGCAGGCCTTTGCCCCCAAGCACCGTGGACATTGGGGGCCAGAACATCCTACAGGTGAGGGCGTCAGCTGCACTGAGGGGTTGACCAGCATCCCCAGCCCCCACCTGCTCCATTCCAGAAGCATCCTCAACCAGCTGGGACAGCTAACGTCTCTGGATGTGACCAGTGTCCAAGCTGCCTGGGCTGAGCAGCTTCGGTTTAGAGAGAGGGCGCTGGGGCTGTGGGGGCAGGAGAGGGGCCACGTGACTGGAGGCCACAGCCAGCACAGAGCCCCACACATGTGTGCTGGAGGATGAGGTCACTCCTGGGGAGCATGGGGTGAGGGGAAAATCCAGGGAGCACGTGAGGTCTGAGCCGGACCGGGAGGCAGGAGGCAGGAGGGCCCGCATGAGCAGAGAGGCAGAACCAGTGCCTGGTGGGGGTCACAGGCCACTGGGACCGACTGCGCCAGAGGAAGCCACAAGCCAAGCAGGCGGGCTTCCCATGGGGCCAGAGCGGGCCACAGCAGACCACACAGGCGGGCGAACCGGGCTGACAGGGTCCATGTTGCTTGGGGCACGGGAATGATGGATGGGAACAGGGGCCGCTCTAGGAGCTGTGCCGGTGGCCATGACGGCCATCCACACGGGTGCTCTGGGTCCCTGACTCCTCCCCCACCCTGGCCAGGAGCGCGCCCCCCCCACTCCTGGCCTCACCTCTGTGGCAGAAGGTCAGCCGCCGCTCCTCGCCCGTCTCGATGTTGGCCACCCACAGGTCATTGCTGTTGATGAAGGAGAAGAAGGCGGGGTCGGCAGGGCAGATCTTAGGGTCCATCCGGGGCCCGGTGCATTGGGTCTTGATTTCCAGGGGCTTCATGGGGGACACCTGGGGACACAGAGGGCTGGCTCAGGGGAACAGGAGGTTGCCCAGCCCCCTGACCCCGCCTGCGACCAGTGGCCAGGGCTCACCATGAAGCCGTTCTTGCCCCCGTCCCGGCAGTGGAAGAGGCTGTTGCTGGCCTGGAAGAGGAAGAGGCCGCTCTCGCTGTGGAAGTCGTAGGAAGTGATACCGAAGACCCCCAGGCGCTTCCGCTCCCGGAGGAGCTCCTCCTCCCGAGAGTAGACCCCGTGGTGGGGCGTGGCCTGGGGACATACAGGGACAGCGCTGCGTCAGCCAGGGACCCAGCATCCTGGCCGTAGATCCTCCGGCTGGGGCATTCCTGGGAGGAGTCTGCCAATCTGCCTGCGGTTCACACCAGAGAGGGCCCAAACCCGGAGGCCACGAGGGCACGCAGCAGGCGTGGGGTGACGAGGTAGACTGACTTCTGGGCGCACTGGAGACTTCCTCCTCTCTGCGCCCATCTCTAGGATTCCTCTGCCCATGTCTGTCCCCAGAGCCTCTCCAAGACAGACAGAGCTCTCCCCACCCACTGGCATGGAGGGCTACCCAAGGGGTACTGTTTCCTGGTCCCCAGTGCCAAGCCCACAGACCCACTCCCTCCTGCCCACACCAACATCCTGTCCAGCCAGAACCTGCGGTTAGAGAGCAGGGCAAATCCAGGACCCCTGCCCCCCCGATACACCTAAGCCTGGGAGGCCTAGGGAAATAGACTACTGCGGACACCACGCAGCCTCCCTGAGAATTTGAACACAATGGGGAGGCGTGAGGAACGCTGACGCCCAGAAACGCGTCTCTGAAAAGCAGAAGCCAGAGCACGACGAGCCCGCGCTTGGCCGGCCTGGGGCGGACCAGGGACAGCACGAGAGAGAGCTGCCGTGTGGGCGCAGAGAAACCCAAACTGCACCTCCGCCCGCCCACCACCCCGGGCCATCACGCTGCTTTCCCGACCAGAAAGAAGTCAACCTCCCTGGACACAAAGCCGGCTGCAGCACTCTCCAGCCATCTCCCCACCCCCTAAGCCAGCCGACTGCCTGCGGATGATGTTAATTATTAGCCCAGTTAAAGGACCTCAGTCTTTGGTGAGGCCTGGAAAAGGAAGAGAAGCTTCTGGTAAGAGCGCTTATGGAAGTGCCCGCTCTGGGCCTGCGGCGTGCCGGGAGGAGTCTGCCCCAGCCGTCAGGCAGCCCCCCACCCACCACCACCCCCCTCCAACTGCCAGGCAGACTGCCCCCCACAAGGCCCGTGGAAATGACAGGCGGGGCCCAGGGCAGCTTACCTGGAAGTGATCCAGCATCTGCTTCCAGGACAGGAGCAGCAGGGCCTCTTTCCGGACCTTCCTGGGAATCTCTGAGTAGAGGAGCGAGTTCTCGCGGCTGCCATAAGGCATCCCTTGGGGAGGGGGTGGGAGGAGAAAAACCAGAATGGGGGACCTTGCCCAGCACAAGAAGAGGGTCTTGGGCCAGGGCCCTGGCTCCCCATGGCTGGGCCCAGCTGGTTCCGCTTTGACCTCCTCTGGCGCTTCCCGGCGGCACAGCCCTCCCCGCCGACCTTCCGACCCCGGATGCAAGTATGTTCGTGACAGTGACGGGTCTTCTGCCTCTGAGACATCTGCGCGAGGACCCCGTGCGGAGTTACTGAGGCAGCAGTGTGCCAGAGAACAGAATCGGGGCCCGTGGACCCGGGCTCTCAAGGGCGAGGCTGCGGTCTCGGGTGTCCTCCTCCATGAAAGGCTTTTGTGGGGGGCCGAGAGCCGGCGCAGGTTAGAGGGACAGCACGCGCGCACTGGGGAGCTGGGAAACGTGCATCTGACCAGTGCCTCTCTCCACGGCCGCGGGGCAGGGTGCTCTCCGGGGGGCGCCGAGCAGCCCCTCCAGCCCCACCCGCGCCTCATCGGGTGCACCTCGGTGGGGAAAACCACAGATGTCCCCAGACACCACCCACGGACCTGACCCAACCTCGGACACGAGGACAGGAGCTGCCTAGCAAAGATTCTGCACGAATGCAGCAAGCGGGGAACAACGCCGTCACACGGTGCCCGAGAGTCACACACGGTGCCCAAGACGTGTCACTCAGGAGAGGACTGGGCCTACTTCGCCAGTAAGTGGCCGTGTCTCGAGGTCCTCCCTCTCTCAGGTGTGTCTTGTTGACACACGTGCTGTCGTATCCTTAGTGGCAAATAAAAGGCGGCCCATTTCCCAGCTGGTAGCGTTGCTGACTCGAGGGAGATGACGGAGGACGGAGGGCTGTCGTTCACGGCGAACAGGAACGGGAGGAAGGCCACGTAAGGCCAGCCTCTCTTCAGGACCGCCACCTCGCCCATGCTCTCGTGCTCCCGAGTGGGGGCCAGGGAAGTCCCAAGCTCGGCGCCCCCAGGGCCAGAGCCTGACCAATGACGTCTGCTCCCGTGACGGTGAGCTCGACAGCAGCTCCTCCACGCGGCAAGCCGCGTGGCATCCCCACTCCTGACACAACTGGCACGTGAAGTATAATCGGAGAAAGAACGTATTGAAGGGAAAGTACAAGATCAATACAACTTCCTTTGGAAACCAATTCAGGGAAGATGCAGAGGTTATGCAGACGTGTGGGTGGGCAATGCTCGCGATCCCCCATCGAGGGGCCCCGGACACTGGATGGTCCCCTTCCCCCATCCCCAGCTGGAGGCGCAGGTGCGTGATGTCACCCATCCAGGCTGCCCACGAGGCGTCCTTCCCTCTCCAGTTCGCACGACTAGTGGGGACGAGAATCACGCACTGCGGGACCCCGTTTGTGTGCACTGCCCAGAACAGGCAACTCCGGGGAGGCAGGACTTGGACTCATGGTTGCAGGAGATGGGCAGGGGGAGGGGAGTGATGCCTCACGGGTCCCAAGTCTCTTTCTGGGGTGATGGAATGTTCTGGAATTAGGCAGTGGTGACGGTACGAGAAACCACTGAGTAGTCCGCTTTTAAAAGAGTGAGCTTTAGGCCCCGTGAATTAGACCTCATGAGAGAGAGTGGTCCCGGAGCAGCGTGCAAGGCTGGGAGGCAGCAGCTGGCTGTCAGCAACCAGCAGCAGGAGCTCTAGACACCTCCTGCCCCCGGGGCTCTCGGGGAGAGCCAGAGCCGTCCAAACAGGAAGTCAACAGTGCGGCCTTGCCAAGGACATCGGAGCCACCGCCTCTGCCCAGTGGCTTAATAAGTGATGGCACCAAATGGCACATGCCAGCACATTTCGTGTGTCGTAACGGTGACACTGGGTGTACAAACCTCGGGTCTGACTTCTGCTGGCCCTGCCCGACAGGGTCCCGGCCCCCAACAACCACCGGGGTGGCGGGTGGCCCGGGGCCATACAAGCACATTTCCGTCACCGTGCCCTGTGGCCTCGGGAACCAGCCTGATGGACACATGACTCACGCTGCACCCGGGCTCTCCTCTAGGTCACAAGGACACGAGAGGCCTCTCTTCCTTCTCAGGGACTTCCTGAGCTGTCCCTGAGTCCTCTGTCCTACACGAGACACCATTTGCAGGGGGACTAGCTGACCCATGTGGAGCAGGGGAACCACCACCATCCCATCTTCCTGGCGACAGAAGTCCTCTGTTCATTTCCTTTGCGTTGGACTCCATCACACACGCCTGGAAGAGCCTTCCCAGAGCCCGGGCCGGCTGGCTCCACACAGAACGCCGAGCCGGTGCCTGCTGAGGAGGCAGGGGCTGCCAGGGGCAGCACAGGGGGCAGGCTGCGTGCCTCAGGGCACCCTGAAGGTACTGAGGGACACGGACGGGTGACCAATGTCACCTGAAAGAGGCAGGATGGCTCCAAGATGTCCTAGGAAGGTTCTGGGGTCTCAGCCAAGCCCACAGCCCTCGTCTCGAGCTGCCCGCACCCAGTGTGGCAGTCCTCCCGCAATCTGCGGGGACCCACTCACCCCAACCCCCCCCGACACGCACACATGGACTGCAGACAGTCTGCTCTATGCTGAACCCATCGGTTCCCTCCCCTCAACGTTCAGAAGGAGCTCATCTGTCTCTGCTGGTGGCTGCAGCCCAGCAGGAGGCAAGCAGGCAGCAAGGGCCGTGTGTGGAGAGGAGCATGTGCCGAGCAGATGCCCGGGCCCCATGCGGCTCCAAGGTTCTCGGGGCCAGGACACAAGGCCCAGGGTGGGGGCTCCCTGGCACTCCCCGTGTTCTTCCTTTGAGGTGCCCCCGTGGCTCAACCTAGCTCAGAGGGCTTCTGCCCCTTTCAGCAGCTCTGCGGTTGGCTCCACAACGGCCCCCAAGTGCTCCAGTCCTCATCGCCAGAACCTGTGACTATGTTACATCCTTTGGCAAGAGGGACCCCACAGACGGGATGAAGCGGAGGGTCCGAGCTGGGCAGAGCGGCCTGGACGACCCAGCTGGGCCTGACATGGGGTCATGAGTCCCCAGAAGGGAGCTGGGGGGTTTTCAGAGCCCAGCGGCCAAGACGACAGCAGTGCAGCCACAGGCCAAGGAGCGCGGGAGCCTCCACAGCTCAGAAGAGGCAAGGAACTGATCGTCCCCCAGCCCCTGGAGGGAGCACGGTGTGGCCTTCCACACACCTTGATTTGGGCCCCGAAAAACTGATTTTGGGCTCCCGGTCTCCAGCACAGAAGCAGCAACCATTGCAGCCCATGAGACCTGGCTCCGCGAGACCTCAGGAGCCACGCCCCCTCAGGTAATGACGTGTGAAACCCGCCCCATGGGCGGCTCCCAGGCCAGAGCAGGCAAGCCCTTTCCTGTAACTTGCCCGTCTTCGACTCTGGGAGCCACACAACCCCTGGACAGCCATCACTCGCTGAGCCCTGTTCTAGATCCCTCCTTTCCAAACTCTGCGCCCACCAGACCACCGTGTGGCCTCCACATGCCTCCCTAAGAAGAGGGGCTGCGTCCACTCCAGGAAGGGGAGAGCTGGGAGGCACCCATGGCGGTCACTGCCAGCGCCCTCAGCCAGGGTTGGCCCCAGGCGGAGGAAGCTGCATTCACGACCGTGTGCCACACCTCACCCAAACCCTGCCGGGAGCCAGGCCAGCGCGAGGCCTCCCTGGTGCCCTGAAGCTCTTACCCCGCTGGCGGGGAACACAAACCCGCCAATGATCACAGGTGGTGTGCAAAGGGCCGCAGCTGGGGCACACACCCGACAAGGGTGTCAGCGGCCAGGGTACACGCCCAGCGAGGACGTCACTAGCAGTCTGTGTGCTTGTGCCAGTATATAGGGCGGGGTGTCAACCACATGGCCGGCCACCCTCTGTTGTTAGCTTGCGGCACGCACAGGACACAACCATGGCACCCTGCTTTGAGCCTCAGGGCCCCTCTTAGCACCCCGGCCCATGGCAAGTGCACACTGGACTTACTGGTGACCCCACCGCTAGGAGTCGTTCACTGGCCCGACCCGGCCAGCTGGAACCGGAGACAACCTCAGGGGCTCAGAGCCACATCCAAGGCCTAACCACAGCACTGCTGCAACAGCGGTCCAGCCCCTGCTCCACTCCCCTCACACCTGACCCCGCGGGCACCCTGTACCAGATCTTCACCGTAAACGGAGGGCTTACCTAGGTAGTAGAGGCGGTGGGAGTGTGGACTCGACTCGTCTGTCTTCTGCACGAACTGGAAGTCATGCGGGGCCTTGTTGACGATGAGGCCCGAGTTCTTGCGGCTGCCGTGGATGATGTTCCGGAGCCCGTCCCACGAATGCTTCTGCACCTGGAAGCGGGATGCTGGGTCCTCCATCTCGACCGTGTCACCCCGGTCAGACACCGGTGCCCCGGTGGCCATCCTCTCTGTCCCCTCAGAATTCAGCGAGAAGCTAGAAGCAGGAGGGGACAGGGTGGGAAGAGGGTGATATGCAAGTTTCGCTTACGAGCTGGCCCCTCATCAGACACTCCTGGCCACCCGCCCAAGACAAGCCCCACCTGTGTACCACTTGCCCAGCCCCCCTAAATATGTCCCAAATTATTCTGTCTCTTTCCAGCGACCACAAACGCTTCTAAGATCCAAGTCACAGTCACCTCTGATTGTAACAGACCCAACACATTCAATGCAAATCTGATCCCATCACTTAAAGTTCTTCCTCGGTTTTACCACGGCCCCTGGGGTAAAAACCAGTCCTTGTCACGGGCTTCAAGGCTCTCTGCCCTCTGACCCCTGCCAGCCTCTCAAACCTCAACCCCCTTTATTAGTCCTCCAGCCAAAACAGCCTTGCCTCTGCTCCGCAAACAGGACAGACCCCTTCCTACTCCAGGGCCTTTACGTGTGCCACTTCTGCCCAGAACACTTTTCTCCTCTCTTTGCTTGACTAACTTCTAATCAGATCTCAGGGTAAACATCTCTCAGGTCCTCAGAAACCTTTGAAGACCACCTGTGCCAAAGCTGGTCTCTCCCATCGTCTTTCACACATCGCACCCCAACTCTGTTACCCCTGCCCTCAGGGCATCTGTCATAATGGTTGGTTGTTGATCTTTTGTCCCATTCACAGGAGTGTCCCTAAAGTCCGCACGAGGGTCTGGATCCCAGCAGGCATTCCACAGAGGGCCGTGGAAGGACTCTCTTGCATTAAGCCTGCTGGGAAACACTCACGTGCAGAGGACTGAGCATAAAGAATTGACCGGTAAAGCCTGTCACCCGCGCCAGCCCACTGGGGGTCCGGCATGGCAAACTCTCGTGCCCCACCGGAGGGGCTTAGGGAAACAGGTAGCTGTGAGCAGGGAATACGCGAACCCAGGTGAGGGGATGGATGTCCTGCCCCTCTCTCCTCCAGCTCCCTGAGCAGCTGGGGCCAAGGCGCCCTCCCTCCCTTCTCCCACCCTTGTTGCTGAGCACATTTCTTGACCGGACTGGCCTGGCCAGGCAAATATTTGTCTTAGGGAAATCTAAACACAGCCGGTGACCCGGTTCTGGAAGAGCTGGGTCTCCAGAGAGGCCAAAGTGAGCAGGGCGGCCTCCCTTTCCTCCATGGCCATGGAATGGTCGAAAGCCTTGCTGGATGCTGGGTCTCCACGTGTTCCAGGATTAGCAGCTTTGCTTGGCGGGCAGAGTTTGGGGTTCCCTGGCCGGAAGTGGGAGTTGCTACTGCCAGACCCTGGGCAGGGACAGCACAAGTCAAGCGCTTTTAGAGAGGCACCAGGCAGAGCTGTGCCCCCCTTCACACGGGTGCCCTCCAGTTCCCAGAAGGCCTCGCCCCCTGCCAGGAAGCGTCCGCCACCGCCCCCCCCCCAACCCTGGCCCAGAGTCACCATCACAGGAGAAAGACCCCTGTCTCCTACCACAAGAGGGAGCAGGAGAGAGACACTTCTGAGCGTGGCCTCTGTGGGCCGGATTTTCAGAGTCCCCTTTCCAGGCCGACCCTATATCAGAGGAGAGGCGGAAATGCCTCCCTTGCTCCAACCTCCGTGACCCAGCCAGGGCTGGGGTGGGGGCAGCAGAGCAAGCCGGGGCTTCTTGCCTCCGAGCCACGAAAAAGCACATTCAGTCCAGTACTTCCTACGGTGGCTTTGAAAACACAGATCACAGGTCATTGGAGCTTTCAGGGCCCTCGGGTCAAATAAGGAGAGCCAGGGAAGACAGGAGACTCCCCGAGGATCAAATGTGGTGCTAGAGCGGTGCGGGGCACGGGGAGTGCTAGGCAGGGGCCAGGACGGGCTGAGCACTCTGGAACCCAGACGGCCCCAAGCACTATTGGCAGCAAGCCCGGAAAACCGGGCCAGGGGACTCCTCTCACCGGCCCGGCCCCCCACCCCAGCCCCGAAACTGCTTCCACAATCCAAGCCTTGCTCACAGCAGAAAAACAGATCACAGCCTCCAGGGCTCCCACAGGGGACCCCATAAGCTAAGGGCCTGGCAGGGGCACTCACACAATCACAGGGCTAATCTCCATAGCGAAGAACAATAAAAAAAAAGATCTTGCCTCCGATCACTGCAGAGAGCCCAAGGAGCAAAAATATGATCCAGGAGATGAGAAATGAAATGAAACATCGGGAGAAACTTCTAGGAATCTTCTAGCTGCGACCAGGCAGCCTGAGCTCCCAGACAGGCCAAGGCTTGGTACTCCGCCCAGGTCCTCCACTCACCTCCCTCCTCCCCAGGAGCAGAGAGAGACTGCCGAGGAGGTGCGGAAGGAGGAAGAGGTTAAGTAAAGGCCGCCCTTCCTAGGCCAGCCTGTGCCGGGCTTCTCCACTCAAGAGTTTACACAGGTGGGGAAATGAAAGTGGATTCCAAGCCACTCGGGCCGGTCCACCTCACTTCCTTCTGTGGGTCAGCGGGATACCTCGCGGACCGCGGGGCCACCAGCACGCAGCCCGGGAGCTCCGGTGCGGGGACGGCAAGGCCCCAGGGGAGTTCGGAGACCTATCAACCGTAAGTGGGCACTCCAGGAGCCAGGACCGCACCCCCTGCCCCCAGCCCGGCCCCGGGGCAGCCACCGGAGACCCAGGAGGGGCCGAGACCAGGAAAGCAGTCAGAAAGCAAGAAGGAACTGCGCACTCTCGGTGCTGGGAGCATTCAGCAGACCGCAGAGTGATGCGACAGGAAGGAAGGCAGGCGCTGGGGAGGGGAGGGGCGGGGGCCTACCTAGCTCCACGAAGGAAATACCCGAGCAGCCCTGGGGACACGCGCTGAGCCCCCGCAGGTGGGGGTTCCCCGGAAACAGCAGGCCATCCTCTGGCCTACCAGGGTTGCCCCGGGCACCACGTCGGCCTTCCGCAGTCACAACCAGCCGTACACAGACTCCGCGTGCAGCCCAGCCTGTACCCACCGGGGACCTGCTGCACTCGACAATGGGGACTCAGGTATCCATCGCTAACTGACCTCCTGACGTGTCTACTACCCACCGGACACTGGGAGCCTGCGTCTGGGGAACGAATTGCTGTACTCAGCATCACCCTTGTCTTCCAGAACCTCTCGAATTCCCTTCCTGCCTCATGGCTTGTACTCGCTAAAAGGAAATGAATCCAGGAGGGGCAGAAACCAACGGTGAGGCAGGCCCGCTCCGCGGGGACTTGCTATGGTTTTCCTCCCATGCAAGGCCCCAGGCACGGGATTCACCAAGTGCCCGAGCCTCACGGGTCCAATTATAACTACTTCCCACTACAACCTTGACGACTGAGCTCAGGGGTCATGCCGCATTTGGGAGGCTGCAAAGTAGGCTCAGGTCAAACGACCTGCCCAACGTCACCCCCACAAGGAAGAAGAAGGGACCCCATGTCTGTTGGACCCAAAACCCACATCCTAACCATCAGGCCAGCTGGGGCTGATCCTGCCCAAGGGGGCAACAGGCAATGTCTGGGGTGCTGCTCACATCGAGGGGGTCGGGGGCAGGGGTGCTGCTCAGCCCCCTACAGAGAATGACTTGGGCCCTGTGACAGCAGTGACCGGCTGAGAAACCCCTACAGCAGCCCACACGGCCTCCTCAAGCAAAACAGCCAGAGTCTTGGGGAAACACAGAAAGGAAGGGTGGTGGGCCACGGTGGGCGTCTTCCCAGACCTATGACATCGTCAGAAATTTGGGAACCTCTGAAACGTGCTTGCAGATCAGGGCTTCCGGAGGCCACACCCCTCACCTTCTCCAACCTTCTGTGTTCTCGTGGTCCAGGCGGAGCTTCTTAACCTTCCGCATCAACCACCCGGCTGACCTCAGGAGGGTGGGGGAGCCTGCGGGAAGACAGACCCCAGAGCTGTAACTCCAGGCAGTCTGGGAATGCACACTCTCGGCCCTCCTCCCCTGCCCATTTCTCCGGGGACACCCAATGCCAAGGGCATTCTGATGAGGCCCTGCCCAGAAATTCGAGAGGGCGTCTGGCATTTGCCAGAAACCAGCATCTTTTCTGCCACGCAGGTGCAGTCCTCCCAAGGCAAGACGTCCCTGAGAAGGGGCCGGTTTCAAATGACGCCAGGGACTGCGTCCTTGGTGCTCACCAGAAACCGACCCACCCCTAGTCCCCCGCTGTGGCCACTCTCTGATGGCTTTCCCGACCTCAGCTCCTTCCTTTGCCCTTGACCACAATCTCCAGCCACGCTGGCCTCACTCTCCCCTATGTACTCGGACGCTTTCTCACCTTAGAGCCTTTGCTCTTGCTAGTCCTGCTGCCTGCGGTGCCCTCCCCTGCTTTCTGGATGACCTGCCCCTCCTCTCCTCCACGCCTCAGTCTCACCCCTTCCGAGGTCTTTCCTGGTACCCGATCTAAAGTCACTAATCCATGGGGTGCCTGGGTGGTTCCGTGGGTTAAGCTTCTGCCTTCGGCTCAGGTCATGATCCCAGGGTCCCGGGATTGCCCTGCATCGGACTCTGCTCAGCGGGGAGCCTGCTTCCTCTCTCTCCCCACCTGCCTCTCTGCCTGCTTGTGATCTCTGTCTGTCAAATAAATAAAATCTTTTAAAAAAATAAATGAAGTGGCTAACCCAACACACACACACAACACCTGGTCCTCAGTGTGCCAAGGAGGAGGACTCTGCATTCTTTATTTGGGGGAAAAGTTGAGTAAGATCCTCTGGCCGTCACTAGGCACTAGCGTAAATCTCTGATGGGTCAGATGTTACGACCGCGGCACGTGTGGGTCACCTCCTCGCTCCCTCCCACTTAGTTCATGGATCTCAATGGTGCAACACCCTAGGGACTCAGTAAGTCAAATGATTACGGAATACAGAGTCTCTCAGGGGTCAACTGATTCCCCTAACCCAGTGGGTCACAAACAGGGCCAGTTCTGCTCCCAGGAGCCATTTCCAGGCGTCATGACCAGGAGGCACGGTACCAGCTTGCAGGCCAGGGAGGGTAAGCATCACCGGGCACAGAGGACATTTGCCTCCACTTCCCACTGCAAAGACGGCTGTGGGTGCTGAGGCTGAACCCCGGCTCCAGTAGAGTGAGCACTCTTCACCCGGATGTCAGCTCCGGGGTTGGGGGGTGTGGGGAGCAGGCCTACGTCGGTCCTGTCTCCTCTATTTCCCTGAGCCCAGAACCATGCCTGGCACACACGAAGCATTTCTGGCCAAATTATCGAGTCCCTGTCCTTCCCTGAATGCTGTCTGAAGTCAAAGGGAGCCCTGGTTTGGTCAGCAACCAAACCCCTTCTCGAGGAGGAGGCAGGCCCCCTGGTAGGCAGGTGCCCTGATGCTTCAAGAAGAAAGCAGCACATGACTCTGGGACTGAGACTGGAGGGGACAGATGAAGCCAAATGTCACCTTAAGCAGCACTGGTCTCACTTGCAGTCCTGTGGTCAAAAGGGGGTTGCTGTTGTCAGAGATCGGGGTTCAAAGCCTGGCTCTACAACTTCTGGTTTCTGTGACCTTAAGCTCTCAGTTAATTTAGGTTAAGTTTAACCTCTCGGTTAAATTGTGTCTCAATTTCCCCAGCTACTGAAGACATTACCTATGCCAAGGGCTGCTGTCAAAATTCAGTGCTCAAGTAAAATCCTAGATGTGGCAGAATTTAGATGTCAGCTAATCCTGTCAACGAAACAGGTCGCTGAAAATCCCAACACGGGGAGAATTGGACCAAAGCTCCTTTCAGAGCCAAGATCCCGGCAGCACGCCCTGGGTTAGGTGTGGGGGGGACAGAGCCACACCTCCACCTCATCCGGCTGCCGTCAGCATTTCCCCCGATTCTCCCACAATCTTCCAGGGGGTTCTTCCTGGGTAGCCGCTGGAGGGAGATGCTGGATGGAAAGAAAAGTCTCCAGCAAGGGCCCACAAAGCCACAGCCACTGGCCTGGGTCCCAGCCAACCTCCTGGGAGGGCAATGACCTCAGGGTTGTAGAAAACCACTTCCTGCAGCCTTCTGTATCCTGGAGCACGAAAATGAATCCCACCAGCCCACACACCAGCCATCACAGTCACCCCACCCCAGCACAACTGACCTTCTAGAGGGTCCAGAAAGCCTCCATTTCAGCCGCAGGCGTGGGACTCAGACCTGGACAGAACCAACGGGTCATTAATGCAGCAGGTTAATGGAGGGGCTGGCTATCAACTCACTCTCCCTGCAGGCGGGAGTCCTGACCAGGGGCCCAATCCTCTCTACCTGAACAGATTCTAGAGATGCCTCACGGCCCGGCAGTGCTGTCTGCACGCCCTGAGCCGAAGTCGGGAGAAAAGACCTCCCACCTGGCCCAATTTTCCCGGGAATCAGCCAGGGACTACACCGCAGTGCACACCTCCAGGGCTTCAGTCCCAGCTCCTGGAAAGCGCGTTGGTTCTTGCCACCGAGACAAGTGACTCCCTCACGGCGGGCGGGAGAACGCCGGCGGGCGGGAAAACGCCAGCGGTCGGGGGGCAAAGGGAACGGGGCCTTTCTGATGGTTCCGCTGCAGCAAGGATGGGGAAGTGTCAAGGCTGGTCTAAAGCTGCGAGGGAAGACGGTGGGCGGCGGGACGCGGCCGGGAGGGAGGCTGAGATTAGGGGCTGGCCCCTGTCGGGCTGTGGGCTGGGGGAGGCCCAGCGCTGGGGCGGGGTGCGGCGGTGCGGGCAGGAAGCAGGTCCAGGAGGCGGCCTCTGCTCTCTTACAGGGAACGTGTGTTTGCTTGGGGAGGGGACCTCCAGAACCTGCGGGCAAGGAGAGCGCGGCGGGTGCGGCCACTCCCGGAAGGGACGGCAGCCGGTGGCTTGGGCAGCGGACCCGACGAGCGGGGAGGCTGGGACGGAGAGGGACGGAGAGGTGGCCCGGCCACCGCAGCAGGCGGGAGGGGAAGAAGGGCTAACGAGGGCCCCGGGCTGAGGGGAAACCGAGGCGGGGGCTGTTGGAACGGGGAGTCGGGTCCGCGGCAGGGCCGGGGTGCGGGGAGGCCGGGGCGGAGGGCACCCGAGAGGCGGGTCAATGGCGGGTCCACGGTCAAGGCTGAGGTGGGGCCGGTCGATGGCGGGTTCGGGGTCGCGGCCGAGGCCGGACGGGGCGCGCGTGCGCTGCTCACCGGGCTCGGGGCCGGCGCGGAGTGGCGGCCGGGCTGGTCAGGGCGTCCCGGGGCCGGAGGGGCCTCACACTAGAGGCTCCATGCCCGGGACTGCGGCCCCGGAAGTGGCGGGCGCGGGGGACAGCAGCAGCGGCGGACACGGGGGAGCCGGCGGCTCGGGCCCCTTTGACCCGGAAGTTGAGCTGCCCAGGCGGCGGCCTACGATTGGCCCGCGCCCGGGCGGTACCAAGGGGCCCGCGGCGCTGGGGGGGGGGACGCGCCTGTGCGGCTCCGGAGGACAGAGGCTTGGAATTTCCCTGGGGCGGCATCTTCTGGCGTGGGGAAGGACGCTGAAGAGGGACACCCCCGTGCAATTTGGTATCATCCAGCCATACCCATAATACTTCTACTAATACCGTCTGGAAAAAACACGGTCTACCGGCGCGTTGGTGGTATAGTGGTTAGCATAGCTGCCTTCCAAGCAGTTGACCCGGGTTCGATTCCCGGCCAACGCAAGCAAAAGAGTTGACTTTTCTACTTCATTACGGTAACGTACTAAAATTTTGCTACTAAAAGCGCTCAATTGGAGCCTTTTTTTTTTTTTTTTCAATTACCCTGACGTAACTTTTAAAACGACAGGAGAAATCTAAAAACCACGGGACAGGAATAATCGGCGCCGCTTTACGATGCTACAGCGAGGGAAAACGCAAGGGTGCTCCCGCCCGGGATCGAACCGGGGACCTTTCGCGTGTGAGGCGAACGTGATAACCGCTACACTACGGAAACCTGCGCGGGGTGACACCCCGGGGGCCTTGATAGAGCGCGCGGTTTCGAGAATTCCGGCTCTTCCCGAGCCCCGGGCCCTCCGACGGGGGTGGCGCGCGCTTGGTCTGCCGGAGATGCTCTCGGAGCGCCGCGCAGAACGCAGCGCTGGGTTGTCAGCATCTCAGACCAGCTCTGTTTTTTTTGTTTCTGTTTCTGGTTTTTGGTTTTGTTTTGTTTTGTTTTGTTTTGTTTTAAGCTAGGAGGAGGACAGGAGGATAAAGGCAAGAATTTAGGGTCCCATTGCTGAATAATCTGCCCCGAGCTCTCCACCCCAAACCCGGGATTAGAGTGCGGGGGGCGAGGCAGTGGCTTCAGCGTCAGCCAAAAAAACCTCAAGAATCAAGGTAAATGATACTTGAATGCACGACACCAAGATACCCTATGAGTGGCCGCATAACTCCGTAACGAACAATATATCAAAACTAGAACTCGAGACAGGTTTTGGCAGTGCCTTGCCAAGAAGTCGTAATGGGGTCCGAGGCAAGTGCAAGAACGTGTGCCCCTCTATACCTGTTTTAGTACATTTTTGAAAGGCGATTCCCCCTTCCCCTCCAAAAGCATCTTCTGGGAAATACTGAAACTTAAAAGTAGGTGCTTGATGATTCAAAACATGAAGAACTTTTTGTCATGTCACTTTTCTGCGTTTAATAGAACAAACACGTCGATCACATTTCCAATATTTACTTCTGGGAAAAGATTCACCATTGGAAGTTATGTAAGACATAACTGAGTGTGCTGAGAAGGCACGCGTTTTTCGGGATGCCTCAGAGCCCCGTAGGGCAAGCACTCTCCTGGCCACAGAGCACAAAGACCCTTCTACACTCTTTTCCTGCCGCTGCTGTGACTTAAGACCACAGACAGTGGCTGCAAAAAAACACAAGCTTATTACATACGGTTCTGGAAATGGGAGTCTAAACCCTGATCTGGAGTGACTAGAACCCAGATGTGGGCATGGCAGGCGGCGGGAGGCTCCAGCGACAATGGCTTAGCCTGACTTTCCAAGCCTCTGGAGCCCTGATGGCCCCAATCCTCTGTTTCTGTTGGTGCCCCACCTTCTTTAATTTGGAACTTCTTGCCTCTCTCTTGTATGTGACTCCATGAAGCCCCCCCCCACATATGCAAAATAAGCTTCCCTTCTTGAGATCCTTACTGTGTTTGCGAGGTCTCTTTTGCCATGTGGGGGAGCCTGGTCACAGGTTCTGGGGGTTAAGATGTGGCCTTTGCAGAGGTCATTATTCTTCTCTCCTTATTGGACATTGTTCCCTAACATCCTTTTTGATGGCAGTATAGTAGTTCATTCATTCATTCATTCATTCAACAATGATTTACTGACCACCTACTATGCGAAGGGGGCAGCGCAGCAGTCCCAGCTGTCCTGGGGGTGGTGATGGGGGGCTAATTTGAGGGAAACTTAGAACCTCCTTATGCTGCCCTGCCCACAGCTTCCAACCCTCCTCTCCAGATGCCTCCTCTGCCTCCCCTTCCCTCCCTCGTTGCCCAGGCTGGGCCTTGGCCCTCTTCCCTCCACACCCGCACCCCTCCCAGGCCACCTTGTCCTCTTTCAGAGTTCAAACCCCATCTGTGCCTGGTGGACACCCATAGTCCTGACTCCCCCAGGGCCTCCCCTGAGCTCCAAACTGGGGTCCGGCCAACCCTCAGTGTCTCCATGCAGGGCGTGGGGGGTGTCATGGCCGTCCCAAACTTATCATGGTCCAAACTGAACTCCACGCCTTTCTGGAACCTGCTTGCTATGGACTGAACATTGTGACTCTGCCAATCCATATGTTGAAACCCACCACCCAAGGTGATGGTGTTGGGGAGGTGGGGTCTTGGGGAGGGGGTTAGGTCATGGGGATAGAGTCCCCATGAATGGCATGAGTGCCCTCATAAGAGAGGCCCCAGAGGGCTCCCTGCCCCTTCTGCCCTGTAAGCCCACAGGGAGAGGACAGTGGTCATAGCCCAGGTAGAGACCCTCACCAGACATGGAACGTGCCGGCGCCAATCTAAGACGTTGCTCCCTCCTCCATCCCCTGAATGAGCTGAGGACGGGTGGTCTCCTTTCCAGATGGCTCAGCAGAACCTGGGAGCTGCCCCAGCCTCCTTGCTTCCCCACCCATACCCAATCACTCAACAAATCCAGTCAGCGCTGCTTTCAAACCACACCCAAAATCGGATCACTGCTTCCCCTGGACAGCCACCTCCCTGGTCCACCCACCACCATTATCCTGTACCCGTCCCTTCTGCCCTGTGCCCTGGCTCACGGCCTCGCCCTCACAGTCCATCCTCCCCATGGCGGCCACCTGTGAGCGCCCGTGAGCACCTGAGTCAGGTCCTGTCCTCCTCTGCCCACAGCCCGCCAGGGCTCCCACCTTCCTGCGGTAGAAGTGGAAATCGTCCCTGAGGCCCACCCAGCCCCTGCAGGAAGACCTGTGCTGGTCCCCTCACTGCCCTCACTTATTTCCCCTTTGCCCAGCCTGCTCCAGCCACACAGGCCCCCTCACTGGTTCCTCCAACTGCCAGGCAGGGCACTGCCCCAGAACCTTTGCACAGTCTGTGCCCTCTGGCACAGGCATTTTCAGGGCTCACTACCTCCCCTCCTTCAATTCTTGATTTCAATGTTACCTCCTCAGAGGAAGCTTCCCTGAGTTCCCCCCAACTCGGCACCCACAAATTGAGTGTCTGTCACTTCATCGTGTTCTTTCGGTGGCTTATTCGTCTCTGAAAAAAATCACATTTGTGGATTTGTTTGCTTGTCTGTCTTCTGTCTCCTCCACTGGAATATGAACTCCACCAGGTTTTGCGGGCTTTGCTTGCTTGTTGGTTCGTTTGAATCTATTTTGTTACATATGTGTCACTGTGGGGTCAGCAAACGTTTCTCAAAATTATGAACACATAAGGGTTGGCCAGAGTAGAGAAGACCTGGGAATGAGAATGAAGTAATACAGGTGGGCTTCCTGGTAGAGGGGGAGTAGCTCAGAAAACATGTCCTCTCCCCCATGAACCCCATCAAGGTCCGAGAGCTCACTCATCTGCCAAAACAAAACCAAACAAAACACAAACAAACAAAAACTTTAAAACCCACATGGGGCAACCGATGTGTTGGGTGACATCCCGTCGCCCCTCCTCTCAGCCTGGGTTTGCCAGCAGGGTCAGAGAGGTGCCCAGGCTGAAAAGGATGCTACTTCCTTCTTTCCACCAGGTGTCAGCAGGAACACGACTGCCAGGCATCATCCAGCATCCTCTGCCTCCCAACACTACCCCTCCCGCTGCCCTAACCACCCTCCCTTCCAGCCCCGCTCCGAGCCCCAGACCTCAGCATCTCAAAGTCAGACACTCCACTCCCCCGACACACACCCCAGCATTTGCTGGAGTGTCCCTGTCCCCAAGCAAGTCACGACGGCAGGCAGGATTGCTGGCCTGTCCTACCAGGCGTCTACCCATTCCGGAGGTTGGAGAGAGGAAGTGGAAGGAGAAAATAAAGAAAAGAAGCAGAGAGGGATTCAGTATTTCCAGTCTGGGAAATGTCTGTTGCAAAGGCTGGCATCAGATCCCTTTGGATGTCTGAGGATAACACGCACAAAGTAACAGAAATAGATACTAGGAAACATCCTAAGGAAATGTCACACTTTAAACTCATTTACACCGCCCAGCCACCCCATGCTCCGGGCACTCTCAGCAGCACCATCGCCCTTTTAATGTTGAGGAAACAGGCACAGAGAGGTTAAGTAACTTGCCCAAGGTTACACAGCTTATAATAATGAGTCAAGATCCAGAGGCCCCATCCTGAGACTAGGCCACCTTCTATAAAGATGAAATTCAAGGTAATCAGATACCTGAAAAGAAAGGTCTGTCGAATCTGAACCAGCCATTAGAAGATCTGCCCTGAGCCTTGTCAGGGTCGTGCATATATTAAGACAGAGTGGTCTGGTGGGTTTCCAGGCAAAAGAACAGAGACGGCCCAAATGTGCCCCCACAGTTTGGGGGAGCCATGAAATGAATGAGGAGGCTCTCTGTCTTCTGAGCTGGGGCAATCTGGGGAGTTGTGTGTCCTAACCTGCCGTTGTACAGAGACCACCGCCCAAAAAGGATACAGATAGAAACACGTCCGGGCATATGCACAAAATATCCCCAGACGGAATCTGTAAAATGCCACCAGGCAGGCTGGCTGTGGCCTTTGGGAGAGCATGGGGGCTGGGAGCGGGGGTGTTGAGGGGGTGGGGGATGCTGGGGACCAACTTTCCACTCACACACTTTTATTCAAGTTGAGTTTCTATTTCAAGCATACAGAAAAGCATGAGGGCAACAGAATAATGGCTTTCAAACAATATCCTCTTTTTTTTTTTTTTTTTTTTAC